ACCTTTTTCACAAAAGACCCCAAAAACTAAAAAAAAAAAAAAATTACAGATACTTCATACAAGTAGGCATGAATTACTAGACAGTACCTGGATAGATGTGAGTATAGCAGCTACATCATATATGGGACTCCACCGAGAGCAACAGGATTGCAACCCCAACTAAGATGCTGATCACGCTAGTCAAACACAGAAGAATCAATAACATAAAGTAAACCACAAAGTTCCCAAATTACAAGCCCAATTGTTGATCCTCACAACTATTTTCAGCTAAGTGATGTGACGCAATGATTAACTCACCTCCATCCCATGGAGTATCATCGGGGCTGCAAGCCAAAGCAGACAATCAAGAAGAAATTACTTGTTGATATACACTTAAAAACGAAATAAAGCTAGGTGATATAATAGAAGTAAAAACAATGATCGATCTTGGTCCAATTTCGTCACAACTCACCCAAATATGACAGCATTCCAAAGCATTATATTGTTGTCCTGAGGAGCAACACTGATTCCTGCAGGTGGATCTTGCTGCAGCCTCTTAAAATCTCTCATCAGCCTCTTCCTAGCAGGGGTCGACATTGTCACTACCTAAAAAGAACAATAGGCAAAAACGCGATAAGTACTTCAATCCATTAAAAAGCAGGCTCCAACGTCACTTTTACTTTACGGTGTCCCCATTTGAATGGTGCACACAAGTTATCATTCAATGATAATTTGATTGCGTCACAGTTTGCAATGGCCAGGAATCAAAATTCAGTTGGCATGTAATCCCAGAAAATCGAACGAGGACAAGCATCTGCTACGTAGAACACACACAAGGTAAAGATGGGGAGAAGAAGAAAAATAAAATTTTCCAACATAAGGTGTTTGTTGCAAGCAATGATTCGGAAATTCAATCTGTCAAAATTTCCCCTTCTTCCCTCTAGTGCAACTTGACGCGGAGATTGCAAACGGAATTCACCCAAAAAGCCCCTCGCTACAGCTTCATATTATGGCGAGCTAGAAAGCAAAACTTTCAGAAACACCAAAAAAAAAAAAAGTTATAAAAATAAGGCTTTGCGGCTTTGATCCAGATTCCAGATCATCCGTGTCAATCTCTCATAAACAATCCCCAGGAAAACAACCATGTAAACTCAAACCGGCGGAAAAAAAAAAAAAAACGAAGGTGAAAAAAGGCGATTCATCGAACAGAATTTAAAGAAAGAGTTGTCTCACCCAGAAAAAGGTTTAAAGAAACTAAGGTCGCCGAGAGCAGTTGCCAGGTGCAGGTGAGCTGACTCAGTCTGGTATGAATAGTACGATCATCCAAATCAGAGCTTCAGTGAGATGGAGAGAGCATTACAGGAAGACTCTAACAAGAGAGTCGCTTGTTTCACTTGATTCGTTGCACAGGAACGGGGGGTTCGACCCTACGGTAAGGCTTGATGGGACGTGTTTAGGACTTCAGGTATGTATCCCTTTGTTCCTGTTAGATTAATTCTTTTTTCAATAAAAAACTGAAATCCCATTCCCCATCCATCACAACCTCATGGAGAAAAAAAGGTGGGGTTGATGAAAGGTATAAAAATTAAACTCCAAATCATGTGAGAGTTTCGTTAAATAACCTACGACATTAAGGTTTCTTCTTCTGAACTTATGCACTATAGCCACTTTCGATTCTATATGAACAACCATTCTAATATCATCAATGATATTTTTAAAAAAATTAAATTGATGACCTCAACACAATTAATATTTGATCAGAAAAACACAACTAATAAAAACGACGATGTTCTTAAATCTCTTTGATGAGCACAAAGAGCGACAGTTTATAATTCCTCGTTCGGCAGTGGCGGGAAGAATATTAGTAAAATTACCACTGAACCTACCCATCCGGTTCTCTTTAATATTTCAAACCACGGGAAGCTTTATTGTCACCTTTACCCTCTTAAAAAGCAGCAAAATTTGGATAAGAATACAAAAGTTACTATCGATTATATGAGAAAGTTTAATTAAGTAATCAGCAGTTATCATTTCATTATACTATGAAAATGATTAATCAAAACACCTCAATCCCATGAATATTAGGTGTGTGTATATCTTCGTTTGTTCATTGTTTTTTGTTCTGTCATTTTCATAAATTAAGAGAAAAATACGCTTAATAGTACAATCTAAATTGTAATTTAAGTGATTTTTGAATTAGTTTGTTTTAAATGATTTTACATTATATAAAAGTTTAGCTTAGCAAAGCACGGAGAAAATTTTTCATAAGCTTTTGCCGGTTGTTTCCGAATAAGCATCAATGGAAAGGATTATTTCTTTTAATAAATTTTAAATAAAAATATTGATAGGCTTGAGATAGATTGTGGAAAGGGAGCATACATGAATATATAAATTGTGGACATGGAGCTTTAAAATTGAGATGAACCGGGGAAAAACGTATTTTATTTAGGGAAAAGTATAAATATTTAGCCCCTAATGCGCGTATCTACTAAGGGGCTTATTTTCCATCCAATCCAAACATGTTAACTTTTATATAATTCTTCATGTTCTTAATATTTTATTTTGGTTCTAAATATAAAATTCTAATTTACTTTATCTCTTATATTTATTTATTTATTTTATAATAGTCCTTATAATAATGATAGTTCTAACGAATCTATTTAATTAGCAATAATACTTTAAAAAAATAACACATATTTATTATAAATAACAAATTTAACTAATTTTTTTATTCTACTCAAATTAGTCAACTAATTCTTATGTTAAAAATAAGATGTGGTATAAAAGTTAATTTGATTTTTAATTTGATCTTAAATATAAGACTCTGAATCTACTTTTGTTCTCATATTTATTCATTTTTTTAAAATAACCCTTACAGTAATTATACATGTTAAATATTTCATTAAGTGATGGTTCTAGCAAAATAAGCTAATACACATTATTAGCAAATGTATTTTAGATAAGATGACACATATTTACTATAAATAACTAATTTAACAAATTTTCATAATCTACTCAAATTATTTAAGTAGCTCTTATATTAAGCACTAGAGGTAGTATTATTTATTATATAACAAACTTGAATGGTTAATCTTGTTAATATTTAAAAATTTATTCATTATCATTTAATTGGATTTTTTTTTACCATGATTATGACTTAATTGGATCAAATCTGCGTATATAAGCATTATCCTTTTATTTATAATTTTTATGATTGTTTGAATGCAGTGAAAAATCAATTCTGAAGTTGAAACTGTAATTTCCTTAAATATCTTCCAAACACTTTTATAACATGTGAAAAGCAATCACAAGCCCGGTTATAAGTAGTATTTCATAGGTTACTAGACATTTTTGTCGCATATCAAAATCATCATTATCATCAATTATAAACCTAAAATCATGAATATCTTATCAGTTATTGTTATTACTAATTTCAATTATGCTATTCAATTATACTCCTACTAAATGTTATAAATTTATAAATTCGATTTTCTAAATTAATTCCAACTCATATCCAAACATACCCTAAATCACATGATTTCAAGTTATTTTTCTATGAAGTGATCCGGTGATATAGGAGCGCCAGAAATTAGGGATAAAAAGATTTCAAATCAAACAGGACATAGAAACAAATAAATATGATTATTTTTTAAAAAAAAATTTCTCGAACGCAGGCATAACATGTAATTCAAATTCGACGTAAAAAATGAAAATAAAATCTTGGAATAAATTAATTGATGAAAACAAAATTACATGTACATTTTTAAAAAATTAAAAAAACGCTTAAATACCAGACCCAGTACAAGTGACAAGAAGTTAATTAGGTTTAAAGTGTAGAATAGTGTAGGACATGTGAACTTATCTAGTCTAGTCATGACTTGTAAAAGTTTTCTTCTTCTTGTTTTTTTTTTTTTTGCCCTTTTCAATGACATAAAGCCTCTTTTCTATTTATAGACAATTTTAGACAACTCGGAGATACATGATTTTTACTTCATACTATAAAATTTAAAAGCCAATTTGTCTCAGGTAAAAAAAAAAAGAAGAAGCCAATTTGTCATTTTGAGTTTTTAACCACTTTTTTTTTTTTTTTCACTTTCAAGCCGTTTGATGCATGGTATCAGGCCTGGTCTTCCAATTTCTATCACTTTTATGAATAATTTTAATTATTTCAACTTCTCTAAACTTATATTTTAATGATTTAATATAAATTATATTTCTCAAACTCTACCTTAATACAAGTACCCCTCCCTAGTTTAAGGGGGGAACTTATGTCTAAGTACAAATTTTCAATTTTTTGTACTTTCAAGGAAAATGTGTATTAATACATGCAATTTGTGATTACGCGGATAAATTTTTTTTTTTTTGGTGAAGGATTACGCGGATAAATTTGTTGTGATTATAATTCATATCAAATCATTACTTCGAACAATATTAAATCGATTAAATTTTGCCATTTTTCAGTTGGCAAAAGAATTAAATTTATTATTTTCATATCAATTATTAAAATATTAGATTATTGATAGAGTTTGTATCTCCTTGGAAAACGGAATCCAAAAAAAGACAAAACGGATTCTAACAAATACAGTCCAAAATAACAAAATGAGACGCCTAAATACTACAAGCAAAGATACGGGATGCTGAAGTTAAAAAAGGAGAAAAATAATGTGTCAAGTAACCATTAATAAAGAATACTGGTCATAAACTCTAAAATTAAATTAAAAAAACTTAATTCAATATTTTATATAGCACAAACGATCTTCGAAAAATAAATTAGAAGGGTCGAAAATTCTTATTTTTATTCAACAAATTAAAGAACCAAAATTGATAGATAAACTTGGGACAGCTCAACCACAGCTCCTAACAGTAAAAACAGAATTCCTTCAGGGTCACAGCTGTTCTGAACAATACGTGACGTGGCAAACCAATCTCGAGCCCACTTGCCCGACCCTTTCCATCACACGCAGCGCATAATCAGCGCGCCAAACTGGGATACGTATCCTTCTTTCCCAAACGAGGCTCCCAAACATAGCAAATCATGAAAGATTTATATTAAACAGAATCAAACTTAGATAAACATTAGTAAATCCCAATTCATATCCAGCGAATCTCACCGTTTAATTCTTCCTGATTTTCTCTTTAAATTCCCTCTGCTTTCCCTCTCTCTCTCAATTCAATCTGCCCCCTCTGTTCTTGCTCTTCCGTGCACGTCATCTTTGATATCTATCCAAACCATGGTGAGCTCCGATCAGACCATTTTGGTGACCGGCGGGGCTGGCTTCATCGGCACTCACACCGTCGTTCAGCTCCTCAAAAGTGGATTTAAGGTCTCTATCATCGATAATCTGGACAATTCCGTTATAGAAGCCGTGGATCGAGTTCGGGAACTTGTGGGGCCTCAACTTTCTGATAGACTTGAATTCACCAAGGTGTGTGCAGTTTTCTTGGTTGGGTTCGGATTACAAAACACTTGTTTCCCCATGAAATAGTTCTTTCAGTCTTTTGATTCTCTTGCTCTGTCTCTGTTTCAGCTTGATCTCAGAAACAAGCAAGACTTGGACAATCTGTTCTCTAAAACAAAGTAGGTGGTCGAAATTAGTCCCAATTTTACTCGTGTTTTTTTATACATTTCTTCCTCCCAAGTTTTATGCAAACACCTCTCTCTACTCTGTGAAGTATGAAGCATACTGCTTCATACTAATCCGGTTTTCCAGAGCTCTGTTTTTTTCTCTTTCCATCTTAAATACATGCAAGCAGCGTAGTTGCTAAGAGACGTTCTCTTTTTATTGGAATTAACGCTGAAACAGATTTGATGCTGTTATTCACTTCGCGGGTCTAAAAGCTGTTGGCGAGAGTGTTGCCAATCCCCGCCGATATTTTGATTTTAATTTGATTGGAACCATCAATCTCTATGAAGTTATGGCAAAATATAACTGCAAAAAGGTTGGCCCATGATCCCATTACTTGAAATTTCGAGCCTAATTGAGGTTCTTCTGTTTCAAATACTAGCAAAAAGCTTCAGAATCTTGTATGCACCTAGTATATAGGTTTCTAAAATCCAGTTCTACTAAAAAATTCATGTTATGCAACAGATGGTCTTTTCATCATCCGCAACAGTTTACGGCCAACCTGAAAAGATACCATGTGTAGAGGATTTCAATTTACAGGCAATGAATCCTTATGGACGAACTAAGGTAATCAAAACTCTCCAAAGAGGAATGCCTATTTTTGAGATTTACAAGTTTGATTTTGTTTCTTCTCTAACGCATATATGACAGCTTTTCCTTGAAGAAATCGCTCGAGACATTCAGAAGGCTGAGCCAGAATGGAGGATTATTTTGCTCAGATATTTCAATCCTGTAGGGGCACATGAAAGTGGTAAACTTGGTGAAGATCCTAGGGGCATCCCCAATAACCTCATGCCTTACATTCAGCAAGTAGCCGTGGGGAGATTGCCGGAACTTAATGTTTATGGCCATGATTATCCCACAAAGGATGGATCAGCAGTTCGAGACTACATTCATGTAATGGACTTGGCAGATGGTCACGTTGCTGCTTTGCGAAAGCTTCTCACTACTGAGCATATCGGTAAAAATATATCCTTTCCATTACATATCCATAACATTGCCTTCCATCTTGGTTTGCTTCAAGTTAATTGGCAAACTCTTTGCTTAGGTTGTACAGCTTATAACTTGGGAACTGGCCAAGGTACATCAGTACTCGAAATGGTTGCTGCATTTGAAAAGGCCTCTGGCAAGGTATCATTGAATCGTCCTGTCACTACACATACATGTCAAATATATTATCAATGCTGAAATTCTATATTGTTTTTGACTCTTTGTTCTGCAGAAAATTCCCTTGAAACTGTGTCCAAGGAGGCCTGGAGATGCCACTGCTGTTTACGCATCCACAGAGAAGGCCGAGAGAGAACTTGGCTGGAAGTAAGGACATTGATAATATCTGTTATTTTGGATTATTTGTGTTTTAATTTGCTGATGATGAAAATAATTCTTGTTTTACAGGGCAAAATACGGTGTAGAGGAGATGTGCAGGGATCAATGGAACTGGGCCAGAAACAATCCATGGGGCTACCAGGGGAAGGCTTGATGGAATTCTCTAAACTCCTTTAAAATTCCTGCCCTCTTTTCGCTGTCTATATGCACTATGTACTTTTATTTTCTTTTTCTTTTTTATAAAAAAAAGGTTGTTTCTTTCCATGATGTTAATTCAAATGATTTGAAGTTGAACTATGACATGATAAGAACAACTTGCTTTTGAAGATTGACAATGATAAGGATCGGTCAATCATTACCCTTCGAAAGTATTTGTTTTGAGAGAAAATTACTTAAATTTCAAATCTAAAAATTAAATACAATATAATACTAAAAGATTTTAAAGAATTTAATATTTAGAGGGCTGATTTGCAGATGATGTACGTAACATAACTATTGCTGGGAATTAAGACAGATAGACATTTAAATATTTTCTATTTATATTTAATCTTTTATTTGAGACCTGCGGTTAATTAGTTTCTTGGTTGGTTTAGTTGCAAAGCTTTCAGTCACTATCAATTTCTTCAATGATGGATATGATATGACAAAAATCCGTTTGGGTGAAATCTGTTTTGATATTCATGACCTATAAATAATACTTACTCCTTGGTATTCTTAATATAAAACTTAATTTACTAATTTAAAAGAATTAAGAAAATTATTACCTCGGTTTTTAATATAAAAACTCGTTTGACTTTTATTTTGGTCCTTATAATAATGATAGTTTTAGCTAATACACTTAATTAATAAGGATATTTCAGGAAAAACAATACCTATTTATTTCAAATAACTAACTTAATTAGTTTTCTAATCTCCTCAAATTAGTCAACTAACTCTTGTATTAAGGATCAGAGGTAATACTAAATTATTTGAAAGTATTTATATTTATTGTTTTTTTTAAAACTAATTTGACTAACTTATTTCATCTAATGACACACGTAAACATTTTAAAAAGATCATGTTATAATTAAATAATTAGTTATTCTTTGGATTCCTCCAAATTGATCAATTAAGTCTTATATTAAAGGTCGATATAAAATAAGTTAAGATTCTCCAAAAAAAAAAAGTAAGTTAAGATCTATTTAATACCACGAATTAGATTTTTTTTTAAAAAAAAGACCAATATAATTCACTATTAAAAGCTCCTAAAAATTTATTAATTAGTAATAATAGACAATGACAATGAGTGACACTTATATAATAACAGAACATAAAAAGCAGGCAAGAATTATCAAAGTAAAGAATACAAGAACAAAGATTTGTCCTAGGAAAAAATATCACTATTTAGATCTTGCATCGGCAACAAACAAAAAGACAAAGAAAAGGTTAACCTCGTCAACTGATTCCGATCGGTTCTCCAAATCCTCAAGCATGGCTTCTGTCATTCCATTGCCCACAAAGCTGCAGTTAGCATATAAAACGGAACTATAATTTTTCTGGGACTTAACGTGAGCCTCCATTTGAGATTTTTAATGGAAGAAGCTTCTATATGCCCACTTGCAGTTTGAACTTGGAAGGAAAAAAGATTAACCACGAAGAAATATGAGAAAATCCCACAAAAATACCGCTTAAAATTGACTTCACCTGATAAGCAATTAATGATAACACGTTTTTGTATAAATTTCTGGTTATAGGATTTTAAAATCTAAGTGGTACTTTCTTGGTATTTTTTCAAGAAATATTATATATATAGTCATAGATTACAATTTAGTAATTTTAAAATTTTAAAAAAATTCTCCCACCACAAAATTTTTAATGAGATTTTTTTAAAAAAATTTCTTTAAACATTCTGGGCATAACAAAATGATATGTTATGACAGAAAAATACTTATTAAATTTTAAAAAGATAAATAGACTATACTGACTACTTTTGTAATAACGTCGACTATTACTGTAATGATTTTAATAAGTCATAGTCTATTATTCTAAAATTCAATAAGTGTTTTTGTGCCATTTTCCTTATTATTGTCATTATTATTATTGTTTTTTGGAAAAATTACGCACAGGTCCCACAGAAGAGAGTTTATTCATCTAAGGTCCCACGAAATGTCAAAATTACTGACAGATCCCAAGGGACCTCAGAGTAATATATTCTACTTGTAAAATGACATTACTGCCCTTCACATTCCAAATTCACATTTGCTCTGTCATTGTGATTTACAACCTCAGCAGCGACTATCAACAACCCAATGAGAAGGTGTTAACAACCTAAGCAGTACCTGTTAACAACTTACTTTATAGAATCATATAACCTCCACATAAGAGTAAATTATAACCAAATAGCATAATACAACAACTTTAACACTAAAATGGGAAGCTTTTTGATATCATTAAGAATCTTAACTAAACCCAACAAGATTATAGCAAAATTTTAATGCAAAGATCCATTGACAACCTCAACGGTAAGTATTAATAACCTAAGGAGAACTGTTAACAACCTTAGCAGTGCCTGTTAACAACTGATTTCATCGGATAATATAACCTCTAACTATAACTAAATAGTGTTAAAGTTAATCTTATATAGTTGTTAGAGATTATATTATCTTATAAAGTCAGTTGTTAACAGACACTGTCTAGATTGTCAACAGCTCTCTTTGGGTTATTAATACTCACCGTTGAGGTTGTTAATGGATCTCCGCGTTAAAATTTTGCTATAATCTTATTGGGTTTAGTTAAAATTCTTAATGATATCAAAAAGCTTCCCATTTTAGTGTTAAAGTTGTTGTATTATGCTATTTGGTTATAATTTACTCTTATGTGGAGGTTATATGATTCTATAAAGTAAGTTATTAACGAGTACTGTTTAGGTTGTTAACACCTTTTCATTGGATTGTTAATAGTCGCTGCTGAGGTTGTAAATCGCAATGACAGAGCAAATGTGAATTTGAAATGTGAGGGGCAGTAATGTCATTTTACAAATAGAATATATTACTCTGAGGTCCGTTGAGACATGTCAGTAATTTTTACATTTCGTGGGATCTTAGATGCATAAAATCTCTTCTGTGAGACTTGTACGTAATTTTCTCTTGTTTTTTGGGTATAGTATTGTCATTATTATTTTGAATGTGAATGTAAATATGCGTGTGAGATGAACCCCTGGGCTTGGCCTGGTGGGCCTAGACGCTCTTTTAAAGGAAGAGGAAAGGAAATAAATGACAGAGAGCCGAGCGCACGAAACCAAAAAGAGAATGGAGATGCAGGGGATCGAACCCTGTACCTCCCGCATGCAAAGCGGGCGCTCTACCATTTGAGCTACATCCCCAGCCGATTGTTAAACACATTAATCAGTTTGTGACGTCTTCTTGTTAGCCGTTATCAATTCGCTCGCGGCACGATCCGCATAGCTGCTGATGTGGATAGAACTCTTGAGAATTTACACTGTACTACCAAAACCTAGTTAATCTTTTTTTTCTTGGGACTCAAGCTATTTAATCTGAGCAAGCATGTGTCCCTATTGATGAGCGCCACTTTATTCTAATCCACAAACTTTACGAATGAACACAATCAAAGACAAAATTCTTTTCAAAAAGGATGATCTTACTCACCATTACGTCTCTCTATTTTATTATTTATCACACTAATTAGTACTATCATACTCATCAAATTTCAACCATTCAAATTTAATATGAATAGCTGAGATTTAATATTCAATATTTTTTTTTAAAAAAATATTTTTTAATAGGTATAATCTAAAATAAATGTAATTTTTTAATTGTAAGTTTTTTTAAAATAATTTTTTCATTTTAAAATTATTAGTTGAAAATTTTAAATTTTAACCATTAAAATTATATCTGAATGGTTTAAATTCAACGCAATGATGAATATTAGTGCTTATCGATGGCCAAAGGTTTTTATTGCTCTCTATCTTAATAATCGATAATGTGATTAATTAGTACTCTTCCGGTCCTTATTATAAGACCCAATTTGACTTTTTATTTGATCCTAATTATAAGACCCAATCCATTTTGTCTCTTATATTTATGCATTTTTTTCCAAGATAATCCTTCTAATAATGATAGTTTTAGCCAATATACTTAATTAGCAAGGATATTTTAGGAATGACAACACTTATTTATTATAAATAACCAACTTAACTTACTTCCTTAATCTCCTCAAATAAGTCAATTGGGTCTTATAATTAGGACCGGAGGAGTATTATTGAATGACGCGCCTTCTCAATGTTATCGAGTGAGTTTGACTGAAAGACAACCTATATTACGGAGTTTTTTTATTATAAATTTGGCAACTAGAACCGTAAGAATCAATTTAACTGCTATGAACTTCCAAGATATAACTATAATCCTAATGACGACATCCTTTAATCTCATCTTCCATGAGCAATACTCAACTTCCCTAGATAATTGTACAAGAACTACATCACATTCTGTACATTTATTTGATGTCACTGCAATAACTTCCATCAAGAAAAAGATCAGGGGGGAACACCCACTACACATGTTTCTCTTAAACACAATATAGAGAAATTTCTGGGTGAGCGTAACATGTAACATTGTTCAATTCACACAGAAATCTTCATCATCTACATCTTTCCTAAGCCAACAAAACCAAGAGTGAATGTACATGTAGTATTATTATTCATGTGTACGTGCCCAAAATTCTCCTTTTATCTTACAAGGGAAAAAACAATCATAATACGAAGAGAAAATTTCCGTCAGGAATTGGACTTGTTTCTATTATCAGCCGGAGATAACGCCGACGAGGTCTTGGAGCTAGAAAATGGCAGAGATGGAGGTAGAAACATCAAACCACTACTTCCTGCTTGTGTTCCGGACGGCGTCGTTTTACTCAAGAAGCTTGAACCACATCCACTGACTTTGGAAGCTGACCCAGATGCAGAAGCTGCGAAAATATCTCCCCATGGGTTAATTTTCTGACCCAAGTTGATTTCTCCAACACTTTGTGTGCTATTCCCACTAACACTACCACAATTTCCTGTGCCCATAATGGAAGTAAGTGCAGCAGCCAAAGCTGACTGAAATGCTGGGTCAGCTGTGATCACTTTAGTTGCTGCAGCTATGGTGTCTGGCAGTAGTGAAGGAGGATTTTGATGTACTTGAGGAGCAGTAGGAGGAGGAGGAGTTTGAATCGGTAGTTGTCTTCCGAGGTTGATGCTGCTAAGGATGTTCCTGTTGTTATTATATGGTTGGGCGTTGTAGTTGTAACCGAGGAACCCCACATTGTTGCTCCATGAAATTGCGTTGGAGTCTGAGGAACTGAAGCTGAGGCTGGCTGAAGAAGGGAATCTCGGTGGGTTATTGTAGTTTGAGTTGAATCTGTTGAAGTGGGGCGAGAAATAATTTGAAGAGGAAGGATTATTGGAAGTGAGGTCGAGGGTAATTGTAGGGTGTGATGGTGAAGGTGATAGTGCAGGATTGGAGAGGTAGAATTGCTTTGGTTTGTAGCCATCTGAGAGGTAGAAGTTGACGCCGTGGAGATCAGAGCCAATGGCGGTGGTCGCCGAGGCCGTTGCAGACGGCGCTGAACCGGCAGGGAGGTTAGAGGTTGAAGAAGAGCCTGACAAGAGCATGGAAGCAGCTGCAGAAGTGGTGGAAGCCATAGCAGTAGCAGAGAGCGGGAGAGGGTGGTTGTGGTTTCCTTCATAGGTAGTGATTAGAACCGACATGTCCTCTACACATCTTTGCACCTGAAGATCAATCCCACACAAAGAGACTATAAAGTCAGTGTATTCAATTTAATATTTTTTTTAGATGTCCCAAAAAGGAAAGCATATATCGAATTTCAAACAATATCGTGATACTCAGACCCAAGTAGATATATATTATAAATTACCTGCTTTCTTACTGGGCAATTTGGTGCAACTGTGCAACGATAGTAAGCTCTTGGACAGGGATTTCCCTTCGATATTTTTTGTCCATATTTCCTCCATTGGCATCCATCATTCAGCTGTTTCAAATAACTCGAGCGTGAATAAATAGTGCTCTTACTATATATATCTTGAGTGTATTCATGGGCAAGTTATATATGCATTGTACTTACAGTTGGGGTGTCACATCTTGCTCTCACACAAACTCTGGCCTTCTTAGCAGGATTTTGCTGGGAAACTTCGTCTTGATCTGTGGGATCTCTGGGAGTTTTAAGTGCCTTGCTTGGTGGCCAACTCTCGCCAGCTTCTTCTTCCTTGTGAACTAATTCAGAGCTATTGGTGGGGCTCGCATTATTATTTGGCAAAGCTTCAGTCGTGCTTCCAGATTTTGATGTTTCAACTTTGCAATCCAGTCCAAGAGACAAGTCTTGTTTGAATTCTTCTTCTTCTTCTCCCTCTTGTCGCTGTAAATGTAATGACGGTTTGGGGTTGATGACTTTAGATTTTTCGTCAGATTTTGGATTACTACTACCACCCGGAACTCTTCCCAGACTGAGTGAAACCAGATCCGATTCCTCAGCAGGCTCTTGATTGTTACCAACATCTCCTTTTTGATCAGATTTCGTCGTAGCTTCCTGTTGAGCTATAACGTGGAATTGCATTTGCAGAGCCTGGTATTCCTTCATTATTCGCTCCAAACACATCTTCAGCCTTTGGTTTTCTTCTCTTACCTCACCCATTTCAACTCTTGCTGATTCAAGTTCGTCAACCTATGTATCAATCACCCATTCACATAAGCATTTAAAAGTAAGCAACTTCTTCTATCCACTTTTTATAAAAGCTGACTTTAAATAGACAGTAAGTAACTGATGTAGGATTCCTCGAATGATTAAAACAAACCTCTTCTTTTTTGGCTGAGGATGCATGAGGTGGTCCAGTGTCCACGACGGATCTATCGGTAGTATTCATCGGCGGCACCTGTAAATCCAATAGTTGAATTAATGGGTGTATATATAATCAGAACTTTTTCCCTCCCTCTTCTGTTGCGTGTGCGATATATGACTAGGGTTTTGTCAACTTGTCTTCGGAAAAATGAAAACGATGATCTACCCAAAAAACCAAAAACAAAGAAAAAGCATAAATAGAACTCGACTGGGTACAGCCGACAATCTTCTGGTTTCACATGTGCAGTGTGTGGATTATCACAATTTTAGATATCATTAGCTTATCCTCCAAACACACATGCTTCGGTCAACTCTTACATCTCAAAGGAAATTAAATTACGTTTTATAATTATATTACACACACACCTAAAATAAAATTAATAGCTAGACCCTTTTATCCTTTATCCCGCTGATAAAAATCTCAATCTGCAGGTCTTCATCGCTAATGGTTAATTACTTTGAGTACTTTAAAGTTGCTGCTGGTGTGTGTGTTATAAACTTGTAATATAATTACTGTCATTTAGAAAAACTGGTTAACCTGGGACAAAATAAAGAATCTCAAATCGAAAAGAGACCGGCTGCTACACATCATATCTCCTTGTCCCTTCGTAATTATTATATTGATCAATTTGTTCTGTATGAATGCTGGGTATGCGCTTGCTGTTTAATATATAGCAAAAATTACTTTAAAGATATAATTTTGGAAATAAAAATGAAGAAACTATACAATCGAAACATCATGTATATTTGCCATGTACTCCAATAAGGAGAATCCTAATTAATTTTCCATAATCATATTAACTGCTTAAACGAATTTAACAGTAAAGCTAGAGCGCGTTTAATCAAGAAGCTATAGCTTCGCTTTCAATTGTATATATACGCAAGATCGATCGACCGGAACAAAACAAATGAGAGGAGAAACCTTTTGAATACAGAATCTGAAACCCAGAAGGATTTTGAACTCAAAAGATGTAAAATAATTAACTGAAACACACACACAAACAATCGATTTAATTTGCTTTGTGATGAGTGATTTATATAAATATATATATGTGTATGTATGTATAATCTTCACCTCGACAGTAATATCTTGTTTAAGACGAGGAGGAGCTTCATGATTATGAGCAGCAGTAGATTCACTTCTCTTTTCTTCCTCGGCTGGTTCAGCTTCTTGGCCAGATCTGCGCAGAGCAAACTCCATAGTTAAAAAGCTAGCTAGCCTCTCTGATCCCTGTGTTCTTCAATATCTGCAGTTCCGGGTCTTGAAATCGCCTCTTGTGTATTTAAAGGAGGATCTGCATGAAGTATTTGACTGATAAAAGAGAATCAAATAAGCTGATTGGCTGGCTAGCTCCAACACGGCACTCACACACCACCAAAAATGTCAACACACTGAGCCACCCAATCCGATTGCCATCCTTATAATAGATAATCACTCGAAATTAAGAAACACGTTGTGGGGTTACCAAAAATAATAATAATATAATATTTAACACGTAAAGAATATGGATATTAAAAGTAGAAGAATTCAACTTCAACGTCGGAGACAAGATGTCATAGAAAGAGAGAGAGGTTGAAGCCGCAATGGTCGGACTCACAATTTAAAGTGCCATCGTTGAAGCTTCGTACATTACCAAAAAGTCACATGCTTTCCTAACCAAAACCCTTGTGGGTCAAACTTTTTTGCCACCTCCGGTGACCGGAGCTTCTCTTCTTTGTTCTTTGTCTTCTCTCTGAGTCAAGCTTTTTAACCTACTGGGATTGCCTTGCACGCTTCCTCCATTATTTATTAACAGACTATTCCACTGAATTATTTATACACGCACAAATGACGAAAGATAAGTTCTCAGTTAAACTCAGCTCTCATATTTCCATATATGTAACTGATTTGTGTTTATGAACTATTTGATTATAACCTAGCTAGTTATCGTAATGAAGAAAATCTATGGGAAAAAGCCGTTTATGTGTAGTATTATTGTTCACATCATTGTGTCTTGGCTATGTAGCATATATTATTTAGAGAGAACGATGGATCCAGCTCATATTGGCTTCAAGTCTCTTACAAATAATTAGGGAGGTAGCTAGGGGCTTATTTTTCCGTGTGAAATTAGCATATTCAAATCTGGATGTCGATATGTCTCCTGGAGTTTTGAAAAGCTTATAAAAGATGCAGTGTATTGATTTGAATACTATTTGGTAATTACTATAATGAACCTGATTAATTGTACAAAACAGGAATATTCAATTGTTTTGAAAGCAATTATGCCCTTTTGACTATTTTTTCTTATAAAAGCTGATGGGCGGGGCAAGCTGTTTTAATTGTTACGTATGAATCTATTTAAAAACAAAAAGATTTATCTTTTTATCCGCCGAATTATAAATATATCGGGATAGTACGTTGAACCTTAAGGCTTAAAGTTATTTTAATTAAATGTTTGATAAGTGTCCGAAATTAGGCGTATATATCGGATTTGTCCCGTCTCTGACTCTAAATTAGTATATATGTAGGTGTATTTATATGTCTATATCTCTGCTGCCACCCCTTAAGCGATAGGATTAATTTGGGATGAATGATCTAAACCATATATAAGAGGGGCGATGCGATTGAAGAACGATTTCTACACTCGCATAAATATCAACACTAATAAATATATGGGTTTCCATCACTTCATATAAAATTTCACGATCCAATTTGGATTTTTGTGCCAAGATATTATAACAAAATAAAAGAGTTGAAATTTGGTTAATTTGTTTAATAATATGAAGTAAGATGCTGACAAAACCATGTTGAACAATACTTAAAAACTAGGATTTACAAAGCCAATCCTATTTTGACCAGCTTATCAACTTACATGTCATTTTTGTACGATCGTACATTTAATTATCTAAGGGTTTATATTTATATATATGTAAGATATTTTATGCCAAGCAACACTTGAATTTTTCAAACCATTTTTTTTAATTAAAAGGGTTTACAAAAACGTAAATATGTATCTAATGAGCCGGAGAAAAGATTAAAATACATAGTTTATATGTTTAGCGTCCAAATATATAATAACTAGTTGGGTTCTTTTGTTATATAACAGAATTTTTTCACAAAATACAACGAATAAATTAAATTTCGTCAAATTAAACATATTAAAGCTATGAATGAAATTAAAAGACTGATCAGAATTAAGAATGATGAATTGAAAATGACCTGAAAGGATTAGATAATGTTGGTCAGAGACGTTAAAATTAAAAATAAACAAACTACATATGGTAACCGTAAGGTTGTTAATTAGGAATATGTAACGAGGCATGTCTCACATACATTTATATATTGACAAGTCGTTAATATAATACGATACTGTACGCATCACCACGCGAAGAAGAAATAATAAGGAAAATAAATAAACAAAATGCAACAGTTTGAAAATAAATAAATAATTAACGTAAAAAAAGACAACCTAGGGATCAACTCCGTTGACCTCTAATAATTTCCCTTCTCGTCTCCTTCTATGTACATATGTGCATTTTATTGTTTTCCTATTGGCCTTACTTGTTCTTTATGGTATTCTGTCTTCTCCATTAACATCCATGAATACTGCTCATTAGTTATAACAAAGAAGAGCCACTTCATATGGAATTTAAATTACATGATACTTTTCATGACATATAATTAGCTAACGTATTATTTTTTCCCCTATAGATTTGATATTACATATATAAATAGGGTCTTGACTTGGGGAGAAGCAGAGAGGAAATTATTTTTTTAATAAGTAATAAAATTTCCGTCACTTTAATTCGAAGAATAAATTTCCATCACAACTCGGAAATTAATTTACTGAGTAGGATCTTGATGATGAGTGGTAGTGTAGTACTTCCCTCGTATTTATTATATATTTACAAACTTACTCTTAAACATTATGAAATGAAATTCAATCAAAAGGATTTTTGTCGTTAGCATTAAAAAATATTACATTTATTTAAAAATTAATTACGTTTTTAATGAATCTAAGAAAGGAAACAAACATTGTTTTTGAACTTTCTGATAAGTTAACTTTCTATAGGATATTTCTTTTATAATTAAGTGTAACAGGATGGAGTAACAATATAAGAAAAATTCCAAAGAATCTATATACATGCATTAAGACAACTTTTTATGTATTTATAACCCTATATTGAAATAGTATATTAGAAATCAAAGACGAACCAAACTCCCTTCAAAGAGCAGTAGTGTGAATGAATGATCCAATTATGTGTTGTATTTTGAAGACTCGCTGGAATTCCACCCCCCTTTTTATTTCCCATTATTTCTTTTTTTTCCGCCAGCTTTTTAAATTCCTTTTTTGCTCATATAGAAGACCCACAAATTAAGCCAACTGATCACGTTATCGGTTTAGTTTAGTTTAGTTCTCATAATTATTACAACTCAACAGACCTTCGTCAACTTGATTATATACACACAAATTGCACTAGTTAATTCAAGTTTAAGCGTCCACTAAAACCGATAATTCAATTCAAAATTAATTGGCATAACTAAAAAAATAACCACTATATAATTATTTAAAAAAGAAGAAGAAGAAAAAGACTGAGAGAATATTGTTTATTTGTAGCGTTGAGGTAGGATCCGAAATGCATTGGGTCAACGATCATATGTACTCGTAATACCACTAAGTCAACAAATATTACGTTGTGGCTAGCTAGCTTACCTTTGAAGTTTGATGTGTTATAAAATATAATAACAATATATGGAACCATAAATATATATATGTATATATCTCGCTGGATTGAGGGACTTGATTAATATTTAAATAATTTTCAATTAACAATAGTCCTAGATTCTCGGGTTTATAATTATATTTTGAACCGAGTCAGCCATTCTAATCCTAATTTCAACTATAGCGCTTCTTTGTTTATAATCAAGATTCCTCCTTAAAAATAATCATTTTCATCTCATAATAGTTATAATCAGTTTGCCGCCCATATGCAGAACTTTTAACCAAATAATTAGAGGTTTATATGATGTTCATAATATTTAAGAAAAATTATTTATTTTGAGATAAACAAATATCTTCATAATTTCAATGAAAAATTGTGTGATTTACTCCCTGAAAATTTTAATATTGGTCGCATTAAGATTAAATTAATGGAAAGTCAATGCATAACAACACCAAAAGCATAATTAGTAAATAATTAGCATATATATTGAGGTTAAAAAAATAATTAGTGTGTGTATGTGTGTGTGAATGAGCTATGCTGCGAAAATAATTTTCAATCATATTTGTTTAATCAGATGAAGGAGTCAAATCCATAATCCGCAGCCTTTTTTTTTTTTATTTCACTTAAATACTTTTTTTTGATACATTTTTTTCATTTAAATACCGCTAATTCAAAGGATTGAAAAGTTACATATATGGACGGAGATTATAAGTATTGCAGGCTCATGAATGCGAATTCCTTTTTTTTGACCAAAAGCTTATGAATGTAAATTGACGCCTGTATTTTCTATTCTTAATTATGTTGTGAAATTAATGTGAAAGTTCATACACCATGTTTAATATAACAAGTCGAAAATATTTCAATTTGAATATCACTTTTTTTGTCGGAGTTTTGAGTTGGAAATCTGAAATTTAAAGGTGCACAGAAAAATAAGTAATCCCATAGAGTAGTTTAGTTGAAAATATTTAAAGTTGAATCTCTCTTTTTCTTACCAGAATTTTGAGGTTGGAATTCTCTAACTTACAGGCGCACAGAAAAGTAAGTACTATTATGAAACAGCCCAAACAACCATCAAATAATCAAGAAGCCAACAGCAAAATAATATTTGAAGTTTTTTTTCTGATCAGAGAATAATATCTTAGGCTGGAACATTATGAAAGTATAAACTATGTTTTTTTTTTTTAATGATACAACGCATAAACGATGTTAGGACTTACGAGGGTCTTTTTTTTTTTTTTTTTTTTTTATATGTTTAAAGCTAGAATATACTACCTCCGGTCCTAATTATAAGAGCTAATTGACTAATTTGAAGAGATTAAAGAAAGAAGTTAAGTTAATTATTTGTTATAAATAAGTGTTGTCTTTTTTAAAATACCCCTGATAATTAAGTGTATTAGTTAGTACTACCATTGTTAGAAGGACTATCTTGGAAACAAATATATAAATATAGAAGACAAAGTGGATTGTGGTCTTATATTTAGAATCAAAATAAAAGTCAAACGAGGTCCTATATTAAGGATCAAAGATAGTACTTAATATGAAAAATTTGTAATATTAAAATATTCTATTTTCATTCATTCTTTTATGTTGGTGTTTATATTTTATATTGGTGTTTATATTATACTACCTCTGGTCTTAATTATACAATCTTGTTTGTAAACTATGAACGTGGTCTTATAATTTAGGACCGAAGGTAGTACTAAACATATAAAGTTTTTAAAATAATTTTCATAATATACAAGCAACTAGCTACTAACATTAGATTGAACGAGTTAGATAGTTATTTCAATTAAAATATTTATGGGAAGAATTATAGTTGGGTCCTAAAATACGAAATTGATGATAAGTAACCCTCGATAAAATTTTTGCAAAAATAATTTACACATATTAATTCATACAGTTACAAAATGTTACAAACTAACAATTATTTAAAACTTAAATACTTGATTTGGAATCAAGAATCTAATACTCTGAATCGATAATTGTAATTCGTTTGTTCAGAAAATTTGTGTGGAGAACTTAAGTATCATTAAATTATAAGTTTGAGGCCTAAAAATTATTTTAAAATAGCCCAATAATTTATCCGTATGATCTGAATTGTACGTTAGTCTCCGATAAAAAATATCAATGATATTTTAGTCAATTTCAAACTATTTGTTTTAAACACAGACCACCACCAGAATACTCTTAAGCTACCTAAACTAATATTTTTTTTATAACCAAAATTAAAGTCTTAACCTACACAAACACGTCAAAATTAAGTGTTCGAAGCAAACTTTCAGACCCACCTTCATTTTCAACAATTTTTTAATTTAAAATAAAAAAAAGGCAACTACAAGTCAATAGTAGTATTATAGGATTTAGTAGTATTATAGGATTTTTCCAACACACACTTTCAATATTTGGGCAGTAATCTTCTCTTTGTTTTTCGATTTTTTTGGGCTCATCAATGGAGAAGCTTAATGTTTTGAGTTACATGCTGGTTGCTGGACATATTTGTTGGTTTGGGCCAGATGGGCCGGGCGGGTGATATCACCTGGAAGCCTGCAACAAGGGCATTACGGGGCAGCGTCAAGGGATTTTCTTATTATAGCAAGTTTGATGATCGAAAATATTAATGATAGATTAAGCTTAAATAATTTTTTTAAGTTTTTTTTATTAAATTATGATATATGTCAAAAAAATTAAAGAAATTATATAGGAAATCACTTACAGCTAACTCAAGTGGTAGAAGAAAAATAAATGCTATATTTAGATGGCTAATAACATACGTAGAAGACTTTGAAGTGGTATATGCGTGGTCAAGAAGTGCCCTTGGGGTGAGGTTACACAAAATGGGCTATGAATAATGTTAAAAGTTCAGATTCTCCTTATGTAGCAAAATTACTATGTATTTATTAACGTGTCACTGTAAAATCATACATTTGTTATGTATTAAGTGGAGAATTTAATGAAAAAAAATATTGAGTTTACACGGCGCAAGATTCTTTGATTCACACAATCATTATTTATTAACTAATCTTCCTCTCATCCACGCCATTCTCTTCTAATCTCAGGCCCAAAAGAAGGAAAAAAGGTTTAGCGGCTGCTGTCTTTTTTATAAAAACCAGTTAAAGATTGAATTTAGTTCTTAATATAAGATCTTAATTTATTTTATTTTTTAAATTTATAGTTTTTTTTCCAAACATTCCTATGGACTGTAACGTGTTGTCACCAAAGAATATAGGGAGAATCTTAATTAAATCCAGCTGAAATACCTAAATTCATATTTAGACCTACATTTTTAGCAAATTCCTAATTAGGCCATGAGATCTAATTAGGGATTTTTGAATGTTGTTAAATCACCAAAATGTCCCTCTTCAATTAAAAAGAAAACTTGATTAATATACCTCTCCCAAGTAATTCCTCATCTCTTATATTTTTTTTAGACCAAAAAACATATAAGTAATTTTACAATGTTTGAAATTTGTATATATAACTTATACTATTAAAAATATTTTAATAAAACATGTTAAATTACAAATATAAGTAAAATTATAAATATTTTTTATTTTCAGTTCTTGTAATTTACGTTAGTTTTATTTATTTAAACAATGTTGGATCGAACTAAAAACGTAAATAATTACGATTTAATATTAAATTTTTATTATAATTAAAATATTTTAAAATTTTAAAATAAATACTTACAACCTGAAAAGAAAAAAATATTAAAAATATTTATTTAAAGATTACATATATTATAATTTGAAATGTTTTATGAAAATATTTTGAAGATTTTAGTTATATTACAAAATTTCAAACACTAAAAAATTATTTATATTTTTTTGTCTAAATATTAATAATAAGAGATGATGAACCACTTTAGAGGGATAAAATAATCAATTTTCATTTTTAACTAAAGAGGGGCATTATAGTTACTTAACAATATTCAGCAATTCCTAATTAGGTCTTATGTCCTAATAAAGAATTTGTTAAAAGTGTAGGCCTCAATTTAATTTTAAGTATTTCAGCAGGATTTAATTAGGATTTTCCCAATAATATATCTAATACACATGATCAAATATGGTAGTTTAGGCAAGTTAACTCATATTTATTACAAATAATTAACCTAACTAATTGAGAAATTTGGTAAAAAATCATTGTTCAAAAATTTAATTAGTTAAAAGAACCTAAATTTGAATGCGTCTAACTATGATTTGTGAGTGCAATATTTATTTTGTTGTGTGCAACATGTCTTCCATTATGTGTAAATAACTTTCATAGTAATGATTGTGGCACATCATTGACGATATGTTGCATATAACAGAAGAAAAGTTGCACTCATGGATTATAGTTATAGTCATTAAAATTTAAGTCTTTTTATTTAGCCAATTAAGTTTTTAAACTGACGCTTTTAACCAAATTTTTCTAACTAATTTTTTTAATACCTTCAAACTAATTATTTTAAGGATAGGAGCTAGCGCAACATGCTGGCATGCGATATCTTGATCTGCTGGACAACCGCCGCCGCCGAAAGAGGTGGCCTGGGAATAAGCAAACGAAGCAAAGAATAGTCCACTTCTGGACGTTGCTACAGAACTTCATACGTACGTTGGTCACCACCTCAAGTTCTTATGCGCTCTTTCATCATAAGTTTGGAATAATAATGCTAACAAGCCATCCAACAAACTCATTCACCATCTTCACAGGAAATATGCAGATCACCGCATGCAATGCAATTTATATAGCTCATGATCAAGGACAAAGTTTCATTGTGAATTTTCACACTTAATACTTTCTCTCTAGAGAATCATATCAGCGATCAATTTCATCCGCATCAATGGCTAGTGTTACAGACGGAAGACGGGTTGGAGTCAGAATAAGCTCACGCCCCCCTCTTGTGGAACAGATAGTTCCTAATTCTGGATGGACACAGGATTCCACCGGCCATTATCTTCTGGTCGATCTTCCTGGTATTATTCCATATTCAAACACCCTCTATTTTAATTAATCTGCAAGACTGGAATTTACATGTTGGAAGGTTACTTTTCTTCTTGGCTTGCTTCTTCAATCTCTGGATGGTTTTCTCAGGATTCAAGAAGGAAGAGGTGAAGCTTCAGGTGGAGGGCTCTGGCTATATCACAGTAAGAGGAGAAAGGCAAGTGAACGAAGTGAAACGTGTTCGGTTTGAGCTGGTTTTTCCAGTGCCAAATGATTCAGATACTGATAAGATAGCTGGGAAATTTGATAGTGAGATCCTTTATGTGACTATCACCAAGAGAGCTGCACAAAGGAACACAGAAACTGAACCAGCTAAGCCTGCAAATGGCAGTGTTAGGAGACAAGAAGAAAATCATAAACGCGAGCAACCCAGTTCTGATAATCAACGAAGAGATCACAACAGAGAACAGGACCGCCATATGAAGGGGGAAAGAAGAAATGAAATCAATCTCGTGGGGGGTTTTCCCGAAGATCTGGTAAGGAAATGGGGAAAAGAACCTACTCTATTAGAAAATGCAGTGAAAGTCTTAAGACAGAACAAGGGAATTGTTATCACTGCAGTTGTAGCCTTTTCCTTGGGATTGTTAGTTTCTCGCAAGTTTCAATCCTCAACCGCAGAATAAATGGATTTACTCGACCTGCATTCATGAATGTATATTCTTCCCTTATGTGACGTCCCTCCTATCTATTTATAGTTGTGTGTTTGAACCAATAAGAAATTTAAATATGTCACACCTCGTGGTTATGCTTCTCCCATGATATTATAGTTATGTAGAATAAAGTTTCATATGATTCTGCAAACAATAATATCTGTTCCTTATCCTTCCTCTAATTTTTTCCCCACAACTTTGATACCTTCAAGCATGGTTTGATTTGTTTATGGGCAACCTTTTGCTTTGTCATAACTCTGGCAAAAGGTCCTGCCTCCACGTCAATATTCTACATCAGACTGTCTTGTTACGGGACATATATAAGATGGCTAATACATAAGAGATTCTCAGTTTCTTACTTTCCATATCAATTCAGAAATCCACATTGCTTCAACTCTTCATCCTCTCCTGCCTCCACCAAAGTGAAAACAGAAATTTCAAGTTCCTGGTCTCTCAATTCTCAGTGCTATGCATCCAATTAACTTTATGCCGACTTGGTATTCCTTTGACAAAAACCTTACAAAATAACTCGGATTGCCTTTTGTTTTTCAACACATCCTTTGCATTTGATTCTTTAAGCAACAGTGTTCTTTTACTCACCTCATCCTCAACTTGATCCAAAAAAATATGCTGAATCAGAGAGGCATCGTATCAAGGTTTGCTTTTAATCTTAACAGGATCAGATTCCACAAACAGTCCAACAAATTAAAAAGCGCACAAAAACACACACAGCACGCACTGGTACAGAAAAGAGAAGTTTCTTGGGCATCTGAACCAAAAAGTTGTAACCCTACTGATGTATATATGTGAATGCACAGCAACAGAACAAAATAAAATCTCCCTTGCAATCTCAACTCAAAAATCTTCCTTGCAAAACTCAAACATGCAGTTATTAATGTATAACTTTCCTTCCCATAACATGGATTTTAGAATCTCTTCCAAATCCAAAATTCTTGAGCAAAATACAAAGTGCTTAAGGTTGACAAAATTACTGAGAACACATTAATTTGGCAACCAATGGCTGCTCGAAATGGAAAAAGGGAAGGTTTATTTATAGTTAGAGATATAGACGGTGACAAGCAATGGATAGGCAGGGGGAGAATCAGAGAGAGCACAAGAAGAGATAAAGGCGATGCTTTGTCGTCCCAACTTTATTCAAAATTGGCTGCTTTTGACAAAAAGGATGGCTACATGGTTGCGACGTGGAATCATGTGCCTTCCCCTGTCTTAAATCTTTCAGCTTACGTAAGGTCTCTAGCTAAGTGCACAAAGAGAGTCTTCTCCTTCAAACTAACAATTACTGCAGCGTCCTAAGACGATATTCAAAAGCTGCTTCTTCATAATTTTTCTTTCCTTTTGTGTTTTCAATGACAATTATCATGGGATTGATGACTTCTCAGCAAACTTAAAATCCAGATAACATTATGCCTATGCTATATATTTACAAAGTTGTGCAAGTGACAGTTTCCTTGCTGGCAAGCATTCAAGTTGTGTAAGAGTATGTGCATAATTGATAAGCACTTTTACAATGATAAATATATGATTTATGAGTTAGTTGAGAAGTTTATTTTAAACATAAATATAAGATTTCGAATCATTTTATCTTGAAAATTTATAAATTTTCTCAAATCATTTATGTTGATGGCTTGTATTAAAGAAAGTTTCGATTAATAAGGCGGTGATTAAAATTGATATTTTAGAAAATCAACACACTTTTTTTTTTGTTAGAGTTAATCCTATTCTAGTCACTATCAGGTGCTAAGATATGGATACTTCTCCTCACAAAAATTTTGAACCTTGAATCCTTCCATTGTGGGGAATATCTTCTCATATTTGTTACAGAACTAATTTTTTCAATATTCATGTATTAGGTATTTAAATTCTTCAAACTGAAATGAAAGGAGAACGTTAGATGATGAGCTCATTAGTCAAGCCATAAGTTCATGAGCTGAGGAATTATAGCATAATAAATTGATTAAGAAGTACAGATAAGAACTTTTGTGCTCATAGATCAGTGCAAGAGAAGAGACTGCATCAATTATTCTCATGGGTTTGGAACCAGTGGAATAACATAAACTATCAATTATTTTAAATCATAATTAAACAATTAATACTTCATAATTATAAAGAAATGGGAAGAGAAGCTGAGGTGGATAACGAATCCAGAGCAGAGGGAGGGAAGGAAGGCTAAAGGTGGAAAGCAAAACCTTCGCGAGAGAGCATGGAATCTGATCTGCCCACTATCACCGTCTACCAAACTTCAATTCTAGTCCCCCCACCATGTATTAAAACAAAAAAAAAAAACTAAAAAAGAAGGATAAAGAAAGAGCATAAATTCAAGGGAAAATTAAACTAAAATAACAAAAATAAAATAATAAAGCAACCAACATTCTTCATTTCTTCTCACTCTTCCTGCTCTCTCTCTCTCTCTCTCTTCCCTGCCTCTATCAACGGCCACCGTTATTAGCTGCAATTTCAAGCTCACCGGAAACAGAATCTGATCCCGTTAACAACATGAGAACATGACGACGCCGATGCAGCCTCCACCGCTTGGTCCGGGATTTGTCAGAAAGCTTATCGTTGAAGTAGTGGAAGCGCGCAATCTCCTTCCCAAGGATGGCCAGGGAAGCTCCAGCCCTTACGTCGTCGCTGACTTTGATGGACACAGGAAAAGGACCAGTTCCCGGTACAAGGACCTTAACCCGGTTTGGAACGAGGTTCTTGAGTTCATTGTATCTGACCCCCATAACATGGAGTTCGAAGAGCTAAATATTGAGGTCAACAATGACAAGAAGTTTGGAAATGGAAGTGGCCGGAAAAATCACTTCCTAGGCAGGGTGAGGCTGTACGGAACTCAATTCTCCAGGAGAGGGGATGAAGGTTTGGTGTACTATACGCTGGAGAAGAGGAGCGTGTTTAATTGGGTTAGGGGCGAAATAGGCCTTAAGATTTATTACTATGATGAGATGATGGAGGAAGAAGGACCGCCTCCGCAGCCAGAGCAGGAGCCACAGCAGCAGCAAGCTCCAGAGCATGAGGGTCCGGGCGTAGTAGTTGAGGAAGGAGGAGCGTTTGAGGTCCAAGGCCCGCCGGAGCATTGCGTACCTGGAGTCCCTCATTCACCGCATGTTGTGGTTATTGAAGAATCGCCACCGCCGGTGGTCCATGTACCGCAGGATCAACCTATGCCGGAAATGGCAGGACAACCACCACCTGTATCGGGAATACCCCCTCCAGAGGTCCGAAGAATGCAGTCAGGAAGAATACCGGGAGGGGAGAGAGTTAGGATTTTGAAAAGGCCCAATGGAGATTACTCGCCAAAAGTGATCTCTAAAAAGCCCACCGGCGTCGATTCTGAGAGAGTTCACCCCTATGAGCTGGTGGAGCCGATGCAATACCTGTTTGTCAAAATCGTCAAGGCTCGTGGGTTGGCCCCGAATGAGAGTCCATATGTGAAGATTCGAGGGTCATCGGGTCCCTTGCTCACATCAAAACCTGCGCAATACCGTCCAAATGAGCCCAATGACTCGCCGGAGTGGAACCAGGTTTTCGCTCTCGGACACAAGGCTGACACAGCGAGCACGACATTGGAGATCTCGGTTTGGGATTATCCAACCGAGCAATTTTTGGGCGGTGTTTGCTTTGATCTCTCCGACGTACCTGTACGAGACCCTCCTGATAGTCCATTGGCTCCGCAATGGTACCGCCTTGAAGGTGGTGCCGTAGAACAAAATTCAGGCAGAGTTTCAGGTGATATTCAACTTGCCGTCTGGATTGGTACACAAGCAGATGAAGCATTCCCGGAGGCATGGAGCTCCGACGTACCAGACGTGGCATACACACGCTCTAAAGTATACCAGTCGCCTAAGCTTTGGTACTTGCGTGTGAACATCATTGAAGCTCAAGACCTCAACATCCCTCCGAATCTACCCCCATTAACGGCGCCGGAGATTCGAATAAAAGTACAGTTAGGATTCCAAAGCCAACGAACAAGGCGAGGGTGCATGAACAACCACAGCCTATCAATCCATTGGAACGAAGACCTGCTCTTTGTGGCCGGCGAGCCTCTCGAAGAAGATCCCATGATCCTGCTAGTAGAAGACCGTACGACCAGGGAGGCCGCGATCCTGGGACACATCGTAATCCCACTGACTTCCATTGAGCAACGAATCGACGAGCGCCACGTGGCTTCGAAATGGTTCTCCCTTGATGGTCTTAACGGGTGTGGCCCCTACAGCGGCCGAGTCCACCTGAGACTATGCTTGGAAGGAGGCTATCACGTGCTGGACGAAGCGGCACACGTATGCAGTGACTTCCGGGCGACGGCGAAACAGCTGTGGAAGCCGCCCATCGGAATTCTTGAACTCGGAATCTTAGGGGCGCGCAGTCTCATTCCCATGAAACCCAGACCAGGAGGAAAGGGGTCCACCGATGCTTACTGTGTGGCTAAATACGGGAAGAAATGGGTTCGCACTCGAACCATCACAGACAGCTTTGATCCACGTTGGAACGAGCAGTACACGTGGCAAGTGTACGACCCATGTACAGTTTTGACCATCGGCGTCTTTGACAATTGGCGAATGTTTGTTGACGCATCAGAAGATAAACCTGACAATCGCATTGGGAAGGTTCGAATACGAGTATCTACTCTGGAGAGTAATAAGGTGTACACAAGTTCATATCCTCTGTTGGTGTTATCCCGATGTGGGTTGAAGAAAATCGGTGAGATTGAGCTAGCAGTTCGTTTTGCCTGTCCTTCATTGCTGCCTGATACATGTGCACTTTACGGGCAGCCATTGTTTCCTAGAATGCATTATCTTCGTCCCCTCGGCTTGGCTCAACAGGAGGCACTACGGGGAGCCGCCACAAAGATGGTGGCGCAGTGGCTCTCGAAGGCGGAGCCACCGCTTGGGCACGAGGTGGTTCGGTACATGTTGGATGCGGACTCGCAAACTTGGAGCATAAGGAAGAGCAAGGCCAATTGGTGTCGGATCGTGGCGGTTCTGGCTTGGGCCATCGGGTTGGCAAAATGGTTGGACGACATCAGAAGGTGGAGGAAGCCGGTGACGACTGTTCTGGTCCATATTCTATACCTGGTACTTGTTTGGTATCCAGATTTGATTGTCCCTACTGGCTTCTTATACGTGGTTTTGATTGGCATATGGTATTACCGGTTCAGACCCAGGATACCGGCTGGGATGGATACCCGATTGTCACAAGCCGAAACAGTTGACCCGGATGAGTTAGATGAGGAATTTGACACAATGCCCAGTTCAAGGCCACCTGATATAGTTCAGGTGAGATACGACAGGTTACGCATGTTGGCTGCTCGGGTCCAAACTGTGTTGGGTGATTTTGCAGCACAAGGGGAGAGGCTGCAAGCCTTGGTGAGTTGGAGGGATCCAAGGGCCACGAAGATATTCATTGCAATGTGTCTGACAATTACAGTGACAATGTATGTGGTTCCACCAAAAATGGTGGCTGTGGCTTTAGGATTTTACTACCTGCGACATCCCATGTTCAGGGACCCCATGCCTTCTGCTTCCTTAAACTTTTTCAGGAGACTGCCAAGTCTGTCTGATCGGCTGATGTAGATTGATTCACATTACCGTAGGTCTATTTTTTCATTTGCTTTTTTTGGGACAATTTTTCAGACATCAGATTTTAAATATTGGGGATGGATGGTGGGAGTAGGGGTGAGACAACAATGCAACCATTTGGCCTTTAAAAAGTTGTCCCCAGTAATAACATTGCATGGACAATAAAGTGGGTGATGAAACTCTGAGAGGAAAGTAGCTAGTTGTCATCATGTTCTTTTTGCTGTAATGAACTACATTTCCTGATGACCACCATTCAAAACTTGAAATAAGAGATGGGGTATCGGCTCTTTGATGGCGAGGAGAATTTCCTGTCATCATGTTTGGGAAAGTATATACCTCTGGATATGTTGTTTAAGTTCAATGTGCTTGCGGTTCTGATATTTTGCTTTCATTTGTGAACTGTGGTTCTGATATTTTAATGATATCTTGAATTCTTTATTGTGTAACCTTTGGATGAACCAAATAGAAGCACACTTTAGGGTTAATTAAATATACAGAACCAAGGCGTTGCACATTTCTCTATTGGTTATGCTTATGCTAGACTTAAAAAAGCTAGAAATCCAGTGTTGAATTGCATCAGAAAGCAAATGACCCTTCATTCATGCATACCTCTCGTTGAATTATACTACCTCCGGTTCTTAATATAGGATCTCGTTTGACTTTTATTTTGATCATAATTATAAAATTCCAATCCACTTTATTTCTCATATTTATGTATTTTTTTTCCAAGGTAGTTCTTCTAATAATGGTAGTTTTAGTCAATAAACTTGATTAGTAGTGATATTTTAGGAAAGACAACACATATTTATTACAAATAACTAATTTAACTTGTTTCTTTAATCTCCTCAAATTAGTCAACTAGCTCTTATAATTAAGACTTGAGGTCGTATGTTAACAGGAAGGAATGTTTAAGAGAGTCTGCTCTGGGATGTCTTAACTTTGTTTTCCGTGCACAACAAGGGAACTGGAAAGAAGTCTCGTAACTACTTGAGAAACCTGGAAATTTGGCATCCATTGATCATGCATATCACTGATCAGTGGCTAAGTGCGGAGAAACTGTTTTTGCTGAATTTTAGAACCATGCAATAATTTCATGTACTTTTTCTGGGTCATCAAACTAATTTGCGTTACATAAACCAACGATTCACAGATCCAACTCAGAAATGGCTTCTTTACTAAGACTACTAACAAGCTTACAATATTCAATGCATAAACCAGACCAGAATTTTGAGTCTCCTATTGATTTTTTTTTAATAAACAAACAATAAATTTCTCCTCTTCAATATTGTGATCAGGTAATTAGAAAGTAGAAGCTCCTAAATTTTTTTTTTGGCTTACAAATTTCAGGAAAAAATGTGAATATATACAGAAAAATACACTTTGTATTCTGCGACTTCCAACTAATACGGCAATATTCTTCGTAGTCAATTGTACAGTACAGACAGACTACGTACTTGAAACTGTAGTTTCTATAGTATCCAACCTAAATTATAGCCTATTATAAGTATGCTACTTTCAAGATTGTAATCATTAGATTGGATGGATATTTTTGGCTGTAATCGCACAGCATAATTATTTTAATGATATTCTATTATCTCAAATAGTAGTATAAGTACCATGTTTATTGAAATTAATTTAAACCCATGCACTTAAAATTAAATAAAATTACTTTAATTAATAACAAATCATGCGCAACCTTAAAAATGAGTTTTAAAAAGCTATCTGTAACTTTTTTTGACCAAATCTGTAAATTAATTTCATTATCCATAGTGACTAGGATACGTGAGAGTGACGATTGATTTGGGCCTTTGCAGTACCTGCTTGTGAAGCTGTTGTGGGGAGCTAACGGCCGAGTTTAGTTTCCTCGATCCGTTTGGGAAGAGGACGAATTTGTACCTTCCCTTCTTGTCAGCTATCAATAATCTAATCCCCTGTTAGCTAGACAATTAGCGTAACAGAAACTATATTTCCCTTAATTTATTTGGGTAATTGGGTCTAAGCCTTCCAGAAGAAACGAAATCTAAATCCATAGCAATCAATCTGGAGACTGAAGGAAAGGATGAACCTGAAGGCGAAGCTGTTATGAAGAAGGATAAGATGCAAAATTTGCAGCAAAACTCCGGAGTTTCGCAATGCATCTTCAAATATCATCACACGTCTTCAGATCGAAAGACTTGGTGTTTAATTTTAGTTTTGTTAACTTTTCTTTGTGGAGGGTTGTTAAACAGTGACAAAATAAGGAGATTAAATGTTTCCAAATATGTACCAGAATTCTGGGGGTGAGCTTAAGAGCAAAGCAACAATGATTATCAACAGTAAGTTGTATATAACCAAAATTTACTGGGCAGATTACTCTAAGCTAGCTATATATCACCATCGGCACTGAGGCCGCCTAGCTTGAGTCTTACTCTTTCTCTATTCGCATGCCGTCTTGACTCACATAAACGGTATTTACAACTGGTTCACTGGAAATTTCGTTTGGAGATTGGACACTGTCTGATTAAATGTCTGTTTGTGCAAGAGGAAATTTCGTCATTGCCTTTCATTGTTTTCCAATAAATTCTCGAGCCTATCAAATCAAAAACCGGCGCATCACCGGAAGAGAATATTGATTTCTATGCAGTGTTCTTAGAGAAATGAGCAGGTGTCCGGGCATATATTTTGATATTGGGAAAAGAGCTAAAGGTTTAAGGATGATTTTATTTTCTTTTCAGATTCTTTTCATTGATTGTTTTTTCTCTTTAAGATTCTAACACGCTTGTGATTTCATTTTTCTTAGCTGTTCTTCACAAGGACTATGCTCACCAACCACCAATTCACTTTCACTACCAAATGATGGACTGGAATCTAGATCTGTCTTGTCAAGGTAATTGAAATATAAGCTTTTCCCCCCTCTTCCTTGTGGCTTAAAAAACTTTTCTGTTAGAAAAATATGTTTACAAGAAACAAACTGAATTTTCAAAACCTGTGTCTTCGCTTTTTTTTAACTCTGAAATAACAGTATTGATCCTAAATATTTTACCCGAAAATGGAAATAATTAATGGCCATGGAATTTAATAGCTGACCACGGTGTCTTTTATGTTGCAACTGCAACAGTGGACGAAATTGTGCCTGGAGTTAGAAGCCTCTGCAATTTTACACTCCCTGATTCTGGGAAGGTAAAATCTTTCCTAACTTGCAAAACATAATAAAATTATTTATGCACTTTGCGCGTGGAATTTTCAAGTTATCTTTGAGCTTAAAAGGCTTTCTTCTCATGTTTTGTATATCACGTTTACCTTAGACTCTCAGATTGATATCATCTTTGAAGATGACTCAATCATCATGATCGTCCTTCTATCTATTTGTTAAGAACTTCATCAATATCATCTTAATCCTTTTGAATTTTGATGATCACAGGTGGAACTGCAATACTTGAGTAACTACACTGGAATAACTGGGTGCATTGGATTAATAGGAAACCTTGAAAGAGGATATGACCCTGTGGTCAACTTCTCTGGTCTTATAGGAACAGATATTCTATCTTTGGGGGCCAAACTTGCATACGACATTTCGACAAAGGAATTCAGGAAAATGAATGTTGGTTGCACCTTCAACACTGCGTTCCTTGTTGCTTCTATGACCATGTGAGCTTCACGAAATATAGTTGCGCACACACAAGTTCAAAATGTCCACTTAGACTACACCTGTGATTGGTTTGAGCTGGATCTTTGTGAAACTATCATGAGATTCTCAAGTTTGGTTTGATACAGGCATGACAGGTTTGACACTGTGAAAGCATCCTTTTATCATGAGGTGAACCCTCTGACAAAGACAGCCATAGCAGCAGAGGTGAAGCATAGGATCTCAATGAATGAGACCGGTGTGACTATTGGTGCTCAGCACGCATTGCTACCTTGCACATTGGTGAAGGCTCGACTTGATACCTATGGAAAGGCGGGTGCTCTTATTCAGCAACAGTTCTGGCAGAGAATTTGTATATCCGTGGCTGGAGAAATGGATTTTAGGGCCACAAGTAAACTTCCTAAGGTTGGCCTCTCCCTGGCTCTAGCACCCTAGTCAATCTCAAGGAGAAAAGCTACTATCTAGCACGCTTGATGAACGATTTCATTATTTATCGCTATCCATTTTAAATCAATATTGCAGAATGTCGACAATTTTTACGAATAAAGACAATGATAGTTGACAATATTTTTACGAATATTTTTTGCGAACAGGATTTAACGTTCCCAAATACCTATAAAGTATTAAAAAAAAAGCATAAGATGCTTAAATACCCTAAAAGTATCCACAAAGAAATACCCAGTATGTGAACAAATTTTTTTGACTCTTATACATCCTGAAAGTTTTATTTCCGAGTACTGGGTATTGAGTGTTCCTTTATAGATATTTCTAGGATATTTGAGCACCTTGTTCTAAGGAAAAATTAATTTGCTCCTTTATCTTCAATCTTAAAATGCTTTCAACAATGATAGCCCAAAAGATGGGAGTTGGCATACTATTTCTCTTGTTTACTCTGTTTTAGAGAGCTTGATTATAACGTATTTCCCAATACCAAGCAACATTATCGAAAAACAACAGACAGTCTCTTATTCTATGATTGAGCATAAGTAAACTCCAAAGGTAAACAAAAGAAAAGAAATTTCCTTGAAATCACCATTCACACCAAAGAAAACAGGTAACCTACAGGGGCAGTTGATGGTTTTAAGTATCCAAAGCAGGGTATTTAAAAAGGGCATGGCCCACCAATCCACAGAACTATTATCTACAGTAATACTGATTGTTGCCACAAAACAAGATCAGAAAGCACAGTTCATAGATACCCTCCACGCGAATAGTCAACACAGTCTCATCCATAGCTGTACAAACCAGATAAAAGAGCTGGGTGATATAGAAGCTACTGATGAGAAGCCTGAAGAAGTCCATCCCGAATTTGAGTGGCTACATCACGAACGGCACCAGGTCCATGAGGAATGAACACAGCAGAAGATTTGGAGGCAGCACCAATTTCTTTCATGGTATCGAAATACTGAGTCACAAGCACCATGTCCATCACATCTTTAGCAGTGGTTCCTGGTACATTTACTGAGAATCCAAGCACACTGTCTCTTAAACCATCCACAATTGCTTGACGTTGCCGAGCAATACCCATTCCAGAGAGATACTTGGACTCTGCCTCACCCTCAGCTCGCTTAATTTGCAAAATTTTCTCTGCTTCTGCCTTCTCATTAGCTGCCACCCTCAATCTTGCAGCTGAGATAAAAAGTTATTGTTAGAAGACGAGCACAGACAAAAAAGAACAACTTTTTCACCAATTTAGTCAGCCAATGGATAAAGAGTACCTTGAAGTTTGAATTCAACACAGAAATGTGGTTAAATATATAACCAAATGAGCATTTAGTTCGAGTTAACTGTTCAAACTCTCTGTAGCCAAGCTAATCAGTGAGTCCTATCAGGTTGGACTTAATATGTAGGTATCAAGAACAAAATACCAGTAAAACAAGGCACCGACAATATCAAGCCACATATCAGATTTAAGATCTAACACTTGAGACATAGTCTTAAATAGGTTTTCATTAATTCATGTGTGTAATAAAGACATCCTAGGCTGGAGAGAATTAGCGAAAATGAAAATATAAGACATAATGCTCATATAATATACCAGCATTGATTTCATTCATAGCCCGCTTGACATGCTCATCTGGCTCGATATCAACAATCAGTGTTTGAACGATTTCATAGCCATAAGCTGACATAGCCTGTTAAAAGAATATCAATTCAGAATCAAGTTAAACAACTTAGAAGTTTACATCATGATAAGTATCACAAAAATTAACCTTCTCAAGTTCTTCTTCCACTGCTTTTGCAATTTCATTTTTCTGCTCAAAAGCATCATCCAAATTTAGCTTCGGAACACTCGCTCTGATTACTGCAATAAGAAGGGTAATTTCTTCTTATCTGATAAATAATAAATTAGCTTAGTCTGTATCTGCAACATCAACCAATGTTCTGGTCTGGTTTATACCGTCAAAAACATAGGCTTGGATTTGGGACCTTGTATTGGTGAGTTTGTAATATGCATCATAAGCCTTATCAGCCAGAGCACGGTATTGAACAGAAGCAACAACATTGACAAATACATTATCCTGAAAGCAAATGATCACAAACACCAACCAACTGTGTATCACTGAAACAAATTATTGTACAGTAATGAGCACTAACGTACTGTGAAACCTGAATTAGGAGAAGTTACACTTCAATAAAGGGATGCGATGATGGCCATTGATGGGCATGGGATAACCTAAATAGTAAATTATAACCAAAGTCACAGGAAAATAACAAACCTTTGTCTTGGTCTCACACCGGACATCCAGTTGCTGAAGCCTCAGAGAGAGATGGCCAGCAAGTTGACTTCCGATAATCCACGGCATGCAATGGCATCCTGGCTCAAGTACCTCTTCAAACCTCCCAAATCGTTCTTTCATAGCCACTGTCGATTGTCCAACTTGTACACAACAGAAAAGATTCCCCATTGCACTTCACTTACGTCTAAAATCTACATATATATATATATATATTTATATACACACCAGCATATCATCAACCCAGTTAGATAGAAGTTTGGAAATGAGATTCGTAGTACACAAGCAATATATATGCAAAAGGTCAAGTCTTCAGGAATACGTGCCAACTGCAGATGCTAAAATTGATTCCAATGGGAAAAGAAAAACAAATCAAATTCCACAAAACAGGGGGAAAAAAAATATTCTTGCCTAGAATCCATTCATATGTTCTGGTTTTTTGTGTTATTAGTTTGCACGTAAAAGTATGCATCAAAATTCTACTGGCATCTCACACACACGGAGCTAAGGAAACTTACGTGTCTTGAAAATTTATATGAGAGCGGATAGAGGTAGAATTAGAAAGAAGAAAGATTATTGGCAGAAATCAGAGCAACACGGCAGAACAAGGTTAAGCTTTAAATGAAGACCCAGCAAAGCTGACTTGAGAGACCTTTTCACAGTTTGCTTATACATCACGATCAATAAGTATCCATTTGTACCATTGAAAAATAATATTCTCATAGTTCTTCCCTATCTTTCAAGAGAGTGAATCATCGCTCAGTATTTGTCTGAATCAAAGGCCAACCAGCAAGACAAATACACGCCATGTAGGAATAACTTTATTTTTATGTATGGATTGGCATTAATCAACAGACAAATTTAATCACCAACGACCAAGCTACAATGATTGATATTAAGTAATTATTTTTACAATTAGGTCTAATTGAATAAATCATATTGCATTTAAGTATTTTCAAAGATATCTCAACTCACAACTAATTTTGAAGCCAATAATCCTGTTTAATCTTATTAAGGGAATTTCTATCATTGACTATTTTCATGCCTTTTGAAATGGTTATTCTCTTCAAACCCTGGCCATTCCCGTTGATTGAGCAATTTTTGGTCCAAGTGAGTTGCCACTTCTCTTCAACAGCATGGATCCCTCATTATTTTCAGGTATATTTGCTGTCATTAATATGATTTTATTGTATCATGCATCACCATCAATAATGACCCTTTCGTTTTAATGAAAATCCAATTTGTGCATGCACTACAATATCTATGATACTGTGTGTCTGAATCCAAAGCCAACCAACAAGACAGCCTTTGAAAATTTCGTCAAGGTGGTTCCAGCTAACATCTTGTTCTCACAGATTAAACCTAGAAACAAATTGGCTAAATAGAATATAAATGAGAAAGCTATATACTTGTCATATGTGTTTACTTATATCGTTCGACGTAATTCCCCCTCAAGTTTTGACAAGTATAATATAAATTATTTAAATTATTTGAGAAGTCAAATAAGCGACCCCTTCAAACTAAGGCGGGCTTGGAGAATAAGACGGGTTTAAAAAACCCAGCACCTTTCAGATAAAGTATCTAAAGTGCGAACAGAGTATACAATGAGTTCCCAGAACAGAGAGATTTCACACAAATTCACAAGAGAAAATGAACTTCTGCCTGAGAAAAATCAAACTTTATACCTGATACTTGCCTTCCTGGAATCGGAACAGAGAACCCTGTTGCTTAGTAGTGAGGATGATGCTCGTTATCCTGGGTTCCAAAGCGCGACCGTTATAAAAAGCAGTTTTAAAGGAACGTTCCAAGAAACCACGGGCGCGCCGCAACGTGAACGGTATGAGGAGGAATAATGCTGCTTGAACCTTACGTAACGATCACAGAAAATTCCCATGTTTTGCAGTGTTAATTAATGAGGCACTTTTTTTGGCCATAAGCATTAATGAGGCACTTCAATGGAAGTTTTATATATTTTATAATGTTTATGGGGGCATTTATATAATTTCTAAATTAATTCTGAAGTTATTGGAATCTCTTAAATATTCACATGCGCGTATAGCCTGCCCTGAATGATAAAGCTTTCCATTTGATTTGTATTCCTTCATTATCTCAATAATTAATAAAATCAAATACTCTTATAATTTTCACCCAAATGTAAATACTCCTCCGGTCCTAATTATAAGACCCAATTGACTTATTTGAGGAGATTAAGGAAGTAAGTTAAGTTGGTTATTTATAATAAATAAGTGTTGTTATTCCTAAAATATTCTTGCTAATTAAGTATATTGGCTAAAACTATCATTATTAGAAGGATTATCTTGGAAAAAAATGCATAAATATAAGAGAGAAAATGGATTGGGTCTTATAATTAGGACCAAATAAAAAGTCAAATTGAGTCTTATAATAAGGATCGGAGGAGTATGTTCAAAGTACTAAACCTGCTTTTCTGTTTTGCGGTTACACGTTATTGTCAACTGTCATATTTGGCTGTGAATCATTTGCACGGTTCATGAATGTACATAAATAAAGATGGTTCAGTAGAAAGGCAAGGGTGCCGGACCCTGCGATGTAAGGCTATTTTAGTCAATTCATTCAAAGATATATACTCCTTTGATCCTAAACATAAATCCCCTATGCACACTAGTATAAGGATCTTATATTTAAGACTAGAGGAGTATTTGATGTTTTAAAATTAATGAATCAGAATTTACATCAATTCATAAAGATCAGGCTAATAGAAAATAATTTAATTTAAGTATTATGCACATGTTAATTAATAATTCCGATATATAATTTGATGAAGAAATATTTTGTGCCGAATTGCTCAGCTGCGTGAATATCAACATGCAAAGCAGCTGGAGAATTCGGCTTCATATTCATCAGTGAAACTATAAAGGCTTTGTGATGAAGGGGCTGATCATCCATTTGTCACATTTATTTAGAACAATACTTAAAAGATGAAATTCTTTATATTCATTATGTCAAGTTCTCTGGTTATATATAATCATGCATATTATTTTTAAAATATTAGTAATATTTAATGTCATTTAATTATAAATCCACATTAAAAAAGTTAAAACATATGACCAGACATAACTAGAGAACTTAGCATAATAGATATAAGAAACTTGATTTAAGTATTTTTCATTTATTTATGGTTGACTAGTAATAATTTTGGAAACTTCGTATTGTTCAAGTTTTCCCATGGTATGTCCAACCGTAAATATTCCTCATTGCTTTTTATCAAATTTTTTCTAGAAACAATCCCAAAATAAATAACCGTTGAATTTTAAAACTTTAAATCAATAATTAGTACAAAAATGTGTTGTGGTTTATTTTTTGAATGTAGTCATTTTCTTTACGAGTATAGTAACTAATACTGATTTGAAATTTTGAAATTCAACAATTATTTTTTTAGAATTTTTCCTTTTTGCTGTTATGGTTTTTTTAACCAAATATTATGGTTAATTGAAAGTAATTCGATCGATTTATGTTTGATTTAATTGTATCTCCCATACAATATAATTAACCTTTAATTTAATTTAATTTAATTTGACTATCATTAATGTTTAATTATTATAATTATTCGCAACTTATATGTTCCTATTTTGTGTTTATCAGAGTTTCCTACACACACTCACTTATGTATGTCAATATCAATATATCAAACACACACACACACACACACACACACACACGGGAAAAAATCCCTCCCTCTCATTTTTTCCCTCTTTAAAAAAATATTTGGGCCATGAGCTATTTCTGTCTTCTTAATTTTTTTCCCATCTTTCTGAGAAAAATCTTGTAGTTATGTTAACGTCAAGACTGGGGGGGAAATTAAAGTCACGCACACGCATAGGGGAGAGTCTGTTTAGGGACTCATTGGGCCTTGTTCGGCCCATACTAACTAATGGGCGCAAAACCCCGCCTTTACCTATACGCGTGTGTGGGGGAGAAGGGAAAAAAAATTAACACGTGGCTTCCTATAGTTTTAACTGATTTTAATGGGGTCCTTGTTGTTTTCTCTTTTTTATTGGCTCCCAACAATTTTCACAATTAGAGGCATTAGTTCTTATGCTCATAATCTATTGATTATAACTAATATGGATATTGATTAAACCAGATGTAAGTTGTTACAAAATATAAAATAAAAGGAAGTTTTTAAAAATAAAATGAGGAAATTATAATAAATAATTACTATTATCTTTTTTTTTTTGTATAGATGAAACAAGGGTATAGATTGTGTAATAATCATGATCTCTAATGAGGTTGATTTTGTTTCTATTTAGACTCGTGCGGCAAACTTAATTCAAGTATAGATTGTGTAAGAAACACGTCATTTGATGTCGTTTTCTTTACAGATTAACAAATTATGAGTATATAATTAAAGATTAAGTGAAACTATCAGGATTCGTACATTAATTTATCTGACATTTAATTTTTAGAATTCGGAATTATTGAGGTTATGAACCAAGAACCAACTTCAATTTCGTTTATCTATTCTGTTTTTTTAAACCATAATACTCCTCCGGTCCTTATTATAAGACCTCATTTGACTTTTTATTTGGTCCTAATTATAAGACCCCAATCCATTTTATTTCTTATATTTATGCATTTTTTCTAAAATAATCCTTCTAATAATGATAGTTTTAGCCAATATACTTAATTAGCAAGGATATTTTAGGAATGACAACACTTATTTATTATAAATAACCAACTTAACTTACTTCCTTAATCTCCTCAAATAAGTCAATTGGGTCTTACAATTAGGACCGGAGGAGTATAATAAACGTGACTGGGAGAAAAAAAAAATCAACGTTGTTGCCCAACGAATATATCTAATAAATCTTATTGATGTTTGACACTAACAAATTTTGCATCCAGACGAGTCCATGTTTTCAATTTCTTTTTTTGTTTCTATCTTCCACTGGGATTCGTTTTGATTCAACTTTATCAGCGGGCCCTCCACAAAACAAGCCTGCCCCGACCTGTGGCTTATACTGCAAGTCTCCTATATCCATACAATACTTTATTGTCCTGCCTACTCCTCCATCAACACACAAAAACAAAGCAGAGAAAAAGAAAACAAAATAAGAAAAGACAAGAAGAAGAAGAAGCAAATAAACAATACAGTAGAGAGAAGTCAGGCTCCTCCTCAAATTGGCCAGTCTCTGATTTGTGATTCTGTCGTTATTTCACAAGTATAAACAGGAATTTTTTATCATATTGAACCTCATTAAAAATGGAGTGATTAAGCATTTGAGAACACATGAAGAATGGAGGAGGTAGTCCACTGATAGAAGAAGGAATCTGCATCAATAGTGATTCGCACCTTCAGCGAAGCCGAAAAGGAATGAAATTTTGACACTAGGACCTACACTATAGATGCCTTATTGAATAGGTAAATGACCAGTGACTGCTCTCTCTCTCTCTCTCTTATTATTTGGGAATTCTATATACCATAATCATGATTAAAGAGCGGTGCCTAATAGCTCTCTGAATCATGAAACAAATGGCTGTACTTAATTTCCTTCTAGTGCTGCGTTGACCTTGTTGGTCTGTACTTGTAGGAATTGGCCCAGAACAGGTAATGCAGAAAGTTGATTGCACTGAGAACACACATGAGCCAGTAAAACCTTTCAAGGTGATAATAATTCAAGTTGCTACCAGAGAGCCAAGGTGTGGCTGCAAAGGCCCCAGTGAGCCTATTCACAATCGAAACAAGAACTGTACTGAGGAAGTATCCCATGGCCAGTGAGGCCCATGCTAGAGCTGTGGCCACTGACCTCATGCTCAGTGGTGCTTCTGTGAAAAAGAATTCCATCATGCCAGCCAAAGTGAACAGGTCTGCCGAACCAAGGAACGAGTACTGCAATGCCACCCAAAGAAATGTGATGGGTAGAGGTTTGGCTGAATCTAACAAACCAAATTTTGAAGCAACTTTCTTTCTCTTCATTTCTACTAAAGCTGCCACAGCCATTGCCACAATAGAGAGGAATAACCCAGTCCCAATTCGTCGTAAATGGGTGATCCCAGTTTCTGTTTTGGTAATTTTTCTAGCAAATGGAGCAATAATATGGTTGTATACTGGGGCAAGGATCATGATGAAGATGACAGGAAAAACAGGTAGAGAAGCTGGTGGGACCTTGAAGGAGCCAAGCCTTGTGTCCATAGTGGCAGACTGTTGGACTGAGAAAGTGGAGAGCTGAGCAAGGCAACAATTTAGCATTATGGTGGACAGAAATATTGGAAGAGTCTTTATTACTATCTTGACCTCTTCCACTTCCTTTTCTTTGCATCGAAGCTTTGCATGGACTGGCTCCATCACTGCTCCATTAAGGAATTTAAGACTTCCTGTCAAACTCTGACTTTGCTCTTGGACCTTCTTTTTAACATTAATGTTAATCTCTTCTCCCTCGGTAATTTCAGTGGTCTCGGATGGACTTGTGACCCTGCTCATTACCGCATTACTTGAATTCCTAGCTTTGCAGTTGTTGATAATTGCAGCAGTAACAACCTGCAAGCAGATATAAACTTGCTTCTTAAGCTTTTTTCAAAACTCAACGTGCTCCACACAGATGTGTGTGTGTGTGTGTGTGTACCTTGAACACAGTGGTGATGGGACTTCCTATAGGAATTTTGGTCCTGTAAGTGGCAGCTCCAAGGAGAAAAACTGGGATGGAGACCAGTATTGCTGCAGTTGCAACTCCTAAACCCCATTGCCAGCCTTTGTTATCTTCAATCCAGACCACAAAAGTTACTGCAATTAATGCCCCACATGAGAGGCTAAAGACAAAGTAATTGAAGAATGTAGATCTTTGCTTCCTTCCCCCTGAAGTAGCCTCATCAAATTGCTGGGCTCCATGAGGAGGAAGTGAACCTTTTATTCCCCCCACACCCAATGCCACCAGATAAAGGCCTGTAAATAGCATCGCTGCCTTCTCGTCATCAGCTTCCTGGCATAGACTTTTGGTGTTTCCCGCAACACAGCTTGGTGGTTTCAGTGATGGTATATGAGCTTGTATTGTCAGTATTAATAAACCCTATTTCACGTTTAAAAAAAAAAAAATCTTACATCACAGGAAACCTTAACTAGCATCATATTATTTGTATAAAATACACTTTTGTTATGGAAGAAAACTTAGTTTGACTAAGATAACCACAAAAGGTGTTTCTAACGACATTTCAACCCAAAGCAAGAGTTTAATACTACCTCTGGTCCTAATTATAAAACTTCGTTTGTAGACTACAAATAAAATCTTATAATTGGGACAAGAGGTAGTAATATTATCATGAAATGGTTGGTTACCTCAGTTTTTGATAAACCATCACCATTATGAACAAACTATATAAGAACTGAGCGTGAGTGGACCCTACTTCTGGTCACCATGAACATCTTGGCTAGCTTTTTGATGTCTTTGATTACAATATATGTATATATATTTATTAATTTCTTCTTCACTCACTTCTGTTTTGACTTCTGGTTGGGTAAGGGATGAATATTTAAGAAGGGCATCAACAGGTGGGGCTAGCTCGGTGCCGTGATTTGAGTTGTCCATATATTGGCCACGTGGTGTTCACGTGCCTATTACGATTCATTGGTTGCTCTCTTCTAGAATTATCCTTTAAAAAGTTCATGTGGCGATTCTTCCTCCCAGAGGAATGAACAGCCTAGAAGCCCACCTATAAGAGCTAACTAGCTTGTACTTGATCTGTCTACGTGCGGTTATCTTATTGTAACTATTACAGTGCCTTTTCTTCTGCTTTCTAGTCGATTGATGAAGATGTTGTTTTGCAAAGTTAATAAAATAAAAATAATAAATAGATAAAAGTGTGTGGTTCAATCTAGCTACTCACCATGAACTCAATTGCAGCGCTTATCAAATAGATGGAGAACGTAGTTAAATAGGTATCTGCCAAAAAACCTCCAAGAACAGCAAGGAGGAAGGATGTTCCCATGAAGTTGGTGACAATGTTAGAGGAATTGGACGGGGAAAAGTGCATAAACTTTGTCAAATACAAAACAAGGTTGCTTGCATTGGCAAGATATGCCAGGTTTTCCAGTACCTCCACAACTGCAATTTGCAATGCGTAAAAATTAGATATATAGATATATACACTTAAATATACAACCGTCTGTGAAACAAAACGATAAAAGAGAATTATGCAGCTGAAAGATATCTCAGTTTCCACTATCCAATATTTTATTAATGTCAACAATTCAGGGAAACAGAAAATATGGACTTAGACTGCACAAACCTAAAACGAAGGAGGCAGCCAGCATGCCACCGTGGCGTCCTCTCAAGGCAGGTCTGTTTCTCCAATCTACGTAACCTTCCCATGCGTTCGAACTAGCTTCAATATCCTGTCAGGTTCTCAGTACGTTTAGAACAAAGTGATAGTGCTTAGAACCCAAGATGGATACAAGAGAAGTGATGGAAACTAATGAGGTTTAAAGTTCTACCATGATCTCTAAACTTCTATCGTCTCCTTTATTCTCTTATTCTGAGGCGGTTGCAGCAGCACTGGCTGGGGATGCTTGTGGGATATAACACTACTAGGTCGAGAAATAATTCTTCCGTTATACTAGAAGTGATAAACATAATATTATTTATAAGCTGAAGAAATGGGGTTTCCCACAGAAGAGGAAAGATCTAGGCTTCGTGAAAGTGACCATTCACTCTCTCAACATATATAAATCTCTTTAGTTTTTACCTTACATTGAGGTTGACATTTCTACTGTTATCATTGTCCTTGTTGGTTGGTTCTCCATTTCACTGGGAGAAGGGAAAGATGAGAAAGAAGATCCCAGGAACCAAATCTTTCACCAATATACATTTAGTAGTTCATATCTTCCAATTAATTAATTAAATTCCTGTCCTTGTATCATTGTTCTGTTGGTTTCTGATAGGACAGGGTTGCAATATATGGAAATGCTAATCATGACAGTTAATCAGATTTGTTTAAAATGAGCCACATGTAAACTGGTGTTTGAGGATGATATTGTTCAGGAACAAGATGATTTGCATATTGGGAATCAAAGGTGGCGTTAGATTATTGCATGGACAACCACGCAGTGTATATTTGTCACCATGCCTATCAGAGGGATAATGGATATGAAGGCATCAGAAGATGAAACACAAATGTAAAGAAGCAAGTGGGCAAATTGATAGAAGTCATAATTATATGATGTTGAGCACGAAGAAAAAGTTATAAAGAAGCTTTTCAAGTATGTCCCACCTATATAGTGCTAAGTCCACTGTGACTTAATGCTAATATTGACAGATCAATGCTTTGTCCTCTACGCTATCTCTCTTAATAACCATCCTACGTCCAATTTTTCCTGACCTATAGAGATTTAAATAATTTTTCGACATCTTTAAAACACATTCATAAAAATTCTTAATGTTTGAATTTAGGTATACGCAAATTGCATATCAAGACTGTGATTTTTAGCAACCAGACCATTTATGAGTTTAATATGGTCATGTGAACTTTGTCTCTTTTGAGGTTGTCAGAGAGCTATAAGCTTGAATGGGACCGAATGGAACTTCTCTCTAGCTAGGGCCATTTGAGGAGGAACCTATTCCATACTATGGTATTCCCTGCAAGCAAGAGTATTCTTTCAGGGCTATATAAGTCCCATATCCTTGATCATAAAAACATGTGGTTGTGGATAAGCAAAAGAAACGTGCTAGGTGGATTATTATGGATCTTCATCATCAAGATCTCCAAATTGGGTGGCCAGGTGCATCCAAGTGATGGGCCCCTGCACCCCCATTCTCACCATTTACTCTACTCATTGGAACTACGTATATAAATAAACTAGAGCAGGAAGCTAAGTTTGATCGCAGACAAGCATTAATATTTTGACCCCAATAAAATAGAGGACTTTGTGGAAGATAGAAGAACACGGTAAGGGATGAATAGCCTAGAACTGTGTGTGTTTCTAGAGCTACCACTCCATATCAGTGTCTCACTTCCACGGTATCCTCTTGTGGATAAGATGGTTTAAAGGATCCATCTCACAGAATTTTAACCCCTTAGGATTACAATAATATCTGTTAAGGGAGTTAATTCGGTAGGGTATTGAACAAGACCTGATCTTTTTAGTTGTGAAAATGATTAAGAACCAATCGTTGCTCTTGTAGGAATTGTCACTCTCAGAAGGCCAGGGCTATACCCCACTGTAGAGAACCCTCTCGGTCAGGTCAGGAACATATTCCCATCTAGAATATGGACCAATTGCGATTCTTGAACGTATTGTGCTATTTCGACCTTTAAGGTCCCAAAATTGGCATCTTTGTTTCTCTCCAACTTGTCATCTTTAGAGAATTCAAAAATTATATACGCTTTAAAACATGCTTGTGACGTCGGCCAAGAATAACTTTCATGTCCTAAATGAGAAGCAATTGGAAGGTACCACTAAATGAGAACTTCTGGCAGTAAATGTTAGATAAATGGAAACATGGAACTTCATGAAGAAATAAATTAACCCCACCACATTACAAAAGAACAAAAAACGTGGGATCTGTTATAGTGACCACAATGGATGGGTATCATCAATCCACATTGGTTCAGCAATTTCTTCAGCTTTAAGCTATGAGGTAGGATATTTTCTATGATCACCAATTAATAGTGCAGCACCGCCCACAAAAGCTCAGTGGATTTTGTCTTGCATATAAGTAGTAATGATTTGGACTTGTGAGCTGCATGTATCTCTATTCTTTGATCCCAGAAGACATAATGGTGGTGACTGGTGAGAGGTGCTGAGATTCTGCAGATACGAATGAAATGTGAAAGGCAAGAATGGTGGTGCTAGTACATGGATGTATCAATGAAGGTATATTCTATTCTGAGAATGAAGCATGCAAAACATGGTGGGTCAGACAGAGAGAGAAATTAAAGGTGATAGAGGGAGAGATAGAGTTGTGGAAGAAGGTGATTCGGTGAAGGTATTTTCATCCAGTGTTGTGTTGTAGCTTTGAGCTGGAAAGTTGAGGAAGAAATTAAAAAGAGTACTGGATCATTCCGTAAACATCTCCTTCATGATCTTGCGCTTCCTGATCCACTTAGAGTGGCTTTCACTGTTATAATATCTCCTGATATCCAAGTCATCCATACTACGCGTCCCAGTGGCTTCCATATCATGTTCTCTTAATATTTATCTTCAAACACACGGTTTAAAGCGTCAATTCAAGAGACATTATCAGCCTCTTCATTTATTTGTGGTGGTGGTGTTATGAGTTATTTTCCATTCATGATGAGAGACCTATTTTATGTTTATTTTGGGGTATTTTACGGGTATAGCAAGAACTTGTAATGGTGAATCTGCAAAGAAGCTTTGATTGAAGTATATGAGTATGAATTATGAAACTTATACTTAAAAATGCCCAAAAGATCAAATTAACGTTATAAATTCTATGTGCGAGGGCAAATATTTAAATACATATATTGGAGATCTATTTCCATGAAGGGCGAGTTGAAATAGGTCACTGTTATAATATAATGTTTAGCTTGTAGTTTAAATTAAACTAAAATCTACATCTTATAATGTTTTTAGTCTTTAACATAAGAGCTAGTTAAGGGTTGAATTTGATTTTAAATATGAGTTATTAATCCATTTTATTTATTTTTTAAAATATCTCTATCCAGTGTAAAAGTTTTTCATCAGAAGATAATACTAATTATCTATATGATTGAAGAATATAGTTTAGAAAGACTAATACACGTTTGTGACAAATAATCAACTTAACTAATAATTCTTTTAATACATATAAATTAGTTATCTAGATCTTATGTTAAGTATCAAAAATATTATTAAAAAGGGGAAGTAGTACTATTTATATATTAATACGAATTTTATTGTAACTTAGATGTTTCTTTTAGTTCTTGGTGCGAATAAAGGGGGAGTTGAAAATGATGCCTTGTGCAGCTAAACAATGTTTGGGGTTTAAGCTTTGTGAATTGAAAAAAAAAAAAAAAACACATTTTCTCCTATTTGAAACCTGAAAAGAAGAAGAAGATGATGATGATGCTGATGATGTAGCACCTTATTGAAAGGTGACTTGGTTACTTAAGGCCCAAATACTTTAGCCGGAAAAAGAAGTGATGTTGCCCATGTAAAGGACGAGTACCTCAGAGTTCAGACTTTCTGAATGTTCATAGCGGCCCAATGTATTTTCTTTTCTTTTTTTTTTTTTTTGCCAGACATTGTATTTTCTTTCTTTTTCTTACCCTTCAAAAAATAAACAAAACCTAAATTAAATTTGCTTCTCACCCTCCTCTCTCTCCCTTTCTTTGCCGAATATGCCGACTGATAACTAATCGGGTTTGAAATAGTACCATATCATGTATAACCACTAATTACAATAACTAGTTGATTAATTTGAAAAGATAAAAGAAGTAAGTTAAGTTAGTTATTTGTCCTAAATAGGTGTTGTCTTTCTTAAAATATCCTTACTAATCAAGTATATTGGTTAGAGCTACAACTGTTAGAAGAACTATTTTGAGGAAAAAAAAATATAAATATGGAGATAAAGTGGATTTAAATTTTATATTTAGAATCAAAATAAAAGTCAAACAATATTTTATATTAAGCACTGAAGGTAGTATATTTCTTATTTTATTAGTATTGTTTATATTTATTAATTATCGCAAACCATATCAGGTACATGTATTTTATTTTAAGAAACAGTGAAACACCGATGGCTTCTTTCCATGTTCAGAAACTCGTCTGGCTTCCGTCCACCTTCAGATCATGACCCGTTATAAACTCCGAGTCGTTCGAAGCCAGGAACAGCACCGCCTTTGCCACCAGTTCCGCCGTGAGCTCCACGCCTTCCAACCTCGCGCATTTTCGACAGAACTCTCTAGCCTGTGCTGAACTCATTCCCGCCGCCTTACACAACAATGGCGTCACTAACGCCGTGGGTGACACGCTGTTCACCCTTATCCCACGCGCCGCCAGCTGCACACTCGCCGCCCTCATCAGCCCCACCACTGCATGCTTGGACATGCAGTAGTCTGTTGCAATCGGAAATCCGTAGCTACCAGCCACACTTGCCGTGCACACTATGCTCCCTCTCACTTGCTTCTCCACCATGGCACGAGCCGCGTTCTTTACACACGCCGTCATCCCGCGGATGTTGGTCGCAAATAAACCGTCCATTCCGGAGAAGTTGAGGTCAAGGATCGTCTGCTCGGAGGAGCTGGCTACACCAGCGTTGCTGAACATGATGTCGAGGTGTCCATAAATGTTGACCGTTGACTCCACGAGCTGTTTGACTTGATCCTCGTCGGCCACGTCACAGTGGACGTAGCTGCACCGGTCAGTTCCGATGGACGCCGCCACCTGGTTGCCCAGCTCGTCTTGAATGTCGGCGATCACCACCATACGTGCAGCTTCATTGGCAAACAGGCGCGCCGTCGCTTCTCCAATACCACTAGCTCCGCCGGTCACGATGGCTACTTTCCCGGCTAACTTATGGTTGTTGATGGCGTGACTTGTCGTAGATTCTGAGGCAGCCACCATGTTCTTTGGGGAAATTGTAAGAGACGATGATAAACAGTAGTAATTAATAAACGGGCAATGTTAAGAGGTAATCTCTGGGCATTAGAATTTATAGAAGATGGCCATTAGTTTTATACGAGACTGATCAGTCCTTATTTACTCCAATCCTGCATTCACTTTTTAATATGACAACCACGGTTTTAGACTCTTCCTTTCGTTTTCAAGACTGAAACTGCAGAACAAGTGCGTGGTTTCAATTAACAAAATTTCATTAATTAGTCATTCGAAAACATCAAGGTAATCTAATATTTGTGTGACCATAGCCATGACGTATATAGTATGTTCAGGTTGTGGTTTTGTCACTTCCAACAATTAACACCAACACAGTTTAGAAAAATTAAGGCGACAAACTATTATTGGAGGGGGGAAAAACATAAATATAACAAGCACGGACCTGGATATATCATGGAGAGAATGACAGTTTGATTCTAAAAGAATAAATCAGTGATAGTTCAAGTTCTTAACAAAATTTTGTTCAGGTAAAAAAAAAATTCTGAAAAAATAAGCGTCACAAATGATCAGTTCAAACAACTGCAAATAAATTTAAGAGCTTCGCCTGTATTGAAGATATTTAAGTTTTAAACATAGCTCTCAATTTGTACATAAGATTCATATTTACAACTATTTGAATCTCGGAAAATACATTTGTTAAGAAGGTTTTAATTTTTACGCTTTTAGTTCAACAGAAAGTAGTTTCAAGCTTAAAGTAACTTCATAATACTCTGAATTATACTAAAAAAGAAAATAAAATCTTCCCATATAATAAAAAAAAATGACCTAGAAAATTTTGAAATTTATCATCAAACTTTGCTTCTTTTGTTTCATTCCACTCTTATTACGTACGCTTTTTTTCATAATCTTATTTCACTCCACTCTTATATAACAATATGAATCTTAGTGGCCAACAGTATCAGGATTGTGATAACAAGAGGGGAAAAAAAAAAACGAAGGACTAAACAAACCAGTGTGCCGTGGTAGATTTTTGCAAGGAGACTTGGTTACTAACGGCCCAGTTGTTTTGGCCCAGTGATGTTGTCCATGTAAAGGACCCATGACTCAAATTTCGGACTTTCTTTTGGCAGCCCAATCTATTTTCCTTTTTCGTCCAAAGAAGATAATTCTGCAAGAAAACAAAAAAGAATGAAATAATGAAAATGTTAAATTAAGAACAGAAACTTCAATTTTTTTAGGCGTTGGTATCCTTTTTTGTAGGCAATTCTATTTAAGACACTGTCAAGCATTAAATGTGAACACCTCTTCTAGCAGGTATTCAGCCTTGATCCACCACATTATAAGGGATTAGCTCCTTCTGGCAGTAGAAACTTCATTTTTTTTACCTAGAGCAGAAAGCTAGTAAGGTCCTGTTTGGCATTGCATTTAAAATTACTTATAAGCAAGTTTTATGTAAGCTGAGATAAAACTTTTCTCACATACTTATCTCATACTACCTTCGGTCCTAAATATAAGAGCTAGTTGACTAATCTGAGTAGATTAAAGAAATAAGTTAAATTAATTATTTGTAATAAATTGGTATTATCTTTCATAAAATATTCTTACTAATAAGTATATTGACTAGAACTACTATTATTAGAAGGTTTACCTTAAAAAAAATACATAAATATAAAAGATAAAGTAGATTGGGATCATATATTTAGAACCAAATAAAAGTCAAACAAAATCTCATGTCAAAGACCGGAAATAGCATTTTATAAATTACGATTTAAAACTGCTTGTAAACCATTCAAAATTAGCACCAAGTAATATCACCTAGCCAGGTCCCATACTGGTCATAATTATTAATGCGCAGATAGGGTTCGAAACAGTATTGTATCACGTATGTTTCTTATTTCATCCGTATTATTCATATTTACTAACTATAACACCATATCAGGTACAAATAACACACACACACACACATATGTGTGTGCGCGTATTTATTTATTTATTTTGGAAAACCCTTAAGGCTTCCCTCCGCCTTCAGAAACTCGCCAGGCTTCCGTCCACCTTCAGATCATGACCCGTTATAAATTCCGAGTCGTTCGAAGCCAGGAACAGCACCGCCTTCGCCACCAGTTCCGCCGTGAGCTCCACGCCCTCCAACCTCGCGCTTTTTTGACAGAACTCTCTCGCCTGTGCTGAGCTCATTCCAAACGCCTTGCACAGCAATGGCGTCACTAACGCCGTGGGTGACACGCTGTTCACCCTTATCCCACGCGTCGCCAGCTGCACACTCGCTGCCCGCATCAGTCCTACCACTGCATGCTTAGACATGCAGTAGTCTGTTCCGACCGGAAACCCGTGGCTACCGGCTACGCTTGCCGTGCACACTATGCTCCCTCTCACTTGCTTCTCCACCATGGCACGAGCCGCGTTCTTTACACACGCCGTCATCCCGCGGATGTTGGTCGCAAATAAACCGTCCATTCCGGAGAAGTTGAGGTCAAGGATCGTCTGCTCGGAGGAGCTGGCTACACCAGCGTTGCTGAACATGATGTCGAGGTGTCCATAAATGTTGACCGTTGATTCCACGAGCTGTTTGACTTGATCCTCGTCGGCCACGTCACAGTGGACGTAGCTGCACCGGTCAGTTCCGATGGAGGCCGCTACCTGGTTGCCCAGCTCGTCTTGAATGTCGGCGATCACCACCATACGTGCAGCTTCATTGGCAAACAGGCGCGCCGTCGCTTCTCCAATACCACTAGCTCCGCCGGTCACGATGGCTACTTTCCCGGCTAACTTATGGTTGTTCATGGTGTGACTTGACGTAGATTCTGAGGCAGCCACCGTGTTCTTTGGGGAAGTTGTAAGCGACGATGATACACACTTATTAATAAACAGGAAATGTTAAAAGGCAATCTCTGGGCATTAGAATTTATAGAAGGTGGCCATTAGTTTTATAGGAAACTCGGTCATTATTTACTCCAATCCTCCATTCACTTTTTAATATTACAACCACGGTTTTAGACTCCTCCTTTCGTTTTCAATATTGAAACTGCAGAACAAGTGCATGGTTTCAATTAATAAATTTCATTAATTAGTCATTCGAAAACATTAAGGTAATCTAATATTTGTGTGACCATAGCCATGACATATATAGTACGTTCAGGTTGCGGTTTTGTCAATTCCAACAATAATTAACACCAACACATAGTTTAGAAAAAATATTGGAGGGAAAAAAAAACATGAATATAACAAGCACGGACCTGGATATATCATGGGCAGAATGACAGTGTGATCCTAAAATAATAAATTAATGATAGTTTAAGTACTTAATAAATGTTCTGAACAAATAAGAAAATAAGATATTGTTAAGTTTTAAACATACTCTCAATTTGTAAATGAGATTCATATTTACGACTATTTGAATTGTTATTTGTAACACATTTAAAAAAAATAAGAACCTAATAACTATCATTGATTTAATTTTTTGAAACTTAAATGTCATTCTTCCTATCGAGATGAGGGATTAATTGGTATTAATATCTTCATAAATTTTTAGTCTGTAATTTCCGAATTTGAATAAATAAAAATGAAACACAACATTCACTGAAGAGGTACGGAGAGCCAAATCCCACACACACCTCCCAAAGGAATAAAAAATCCCAGGATCAAAGGGAACCATGTCAACGTTCTAAATATCCATGATGTAGTACGAGAAAACGTTTCAGGTTTTCTCACCAAAAAAAAAAAAAAGGTTTCAGGTTTCTTATTTTGTTTGCAAATTGATAGCTAACGATCCAGAGCTTAAGTTATACTAATGCATTAAGTTTTTTCTACTTTATCAACCCAATTTTTTATTTGTAGCTTGATGCATGATTGAAACAGTTAAAGACAATTACATGGTACTTAACTCTCTTTGTTGGGCAAAACAGAGATGTCCTTTAATTTATTGAGACGCAAAAAGGAGCTCTTTGCATTTCATTCACGAACCCGTAAAGCTTCCGTCGATCTTGAGATCGTGAACGGTTATAAACTCCGAATCGCTTGAAGCCTGAAACAGCACCGCATCGGCCACCTGTTTCTGTGTGAGCTCCACACCCTCCAACCTCGCGTTTTTTTTGTAACGCCCTCTCAAACTGTCCGTGCTAATTCCAGGTGCCTTGCACTTCAGTCGCGTCACCAGTCCATTGGGTGACACGCTGTTCACCCTTTATCCCACGCGCCGCCAGCTGCACACTCGCCGCCCCCATCAGCCCCACCACCGCGTGTTTCGACATGCAGTAGTCATCAGTCCCCCTCAAACCACCGACGCTTCCCGCCACCCTTGACGTGCACAATATGCTCCCCCTCACGCACTTCTCCACCATCACCGGAGCTGCGTGCTTCACACACTCCCCCATCCCGCTTACGTTGACCGCAAATAAACTGTCCATTTCGGAGAAGTTGAGGTCAAGGATGGTCTGATCGGAGGGGCTGAGAATACCAGCGTTGCTGAACATGATGTCGAGGTGCCCGTAGATATTGACCATTGATTCCACTAGGTTCTTCACAGTGGACGTAGGTGCACCTGAGGGTTCCAATGGACGCCGCAACCTCGTTGCCGAGCTCGTCTTGGACGTCTGCGATCACCACCACACGCGCACCCTGATCAGCAAAGAGGCGCGCCGTTGCTTCGCCGATACCACTGGCGCCGCCGGTGACAATGGCTACTTTGCCGGCTAACTTGCAATGGCTATCATTTTGTTGACGTTGTGATGCGAGTTAGACTGTGAGATGGCCATGCTAGGGGATATATGGTATACTTTGTAGGAGGCACCACTGGCTTTTTATAATATCAGTCCTCATTCCACCGATATTTCCAGCAAGCAAGAGGATCTTTTCAGGACTATGATTGCCTTATCCTTGATCTTGAAAATATGTGGTCGTAGCTAAGCAGAAACGCTATCTGAAGCATCCGGTTGTTGCATGCATCTTCGTTTTTCTCCAACATATCATTTGTCTGTCAAGCTAATTAAGTCCCTCTACGACTCATCCTGAAAAGATTTACCTGTGACGCTAACTGGCAGGCAAATAATCCACTTGATTGAAAGAAGAACCACTGAATAAGCAGAAGAAAATGGGATGAACTGCTAAATCATAAGGCCTTGGGTGATATTAGCTTTCCCCGGATCAATAAAATTTCTATGAAGTAATAGCTTTTCTGGCAGTAACATTAGCTTATATGCTGGATAAGTGGACTATACCCACTGAACTACAAAAAGGGAAAAAATGTGGAATCCCTTAGTGAATACGGTGGTTGGGCATTAATATACATCACTGGTTCAGCAACTTTATTCAGAACTTTAAAGGAGGATTTTCCCGTCATCAACAATTAATAATGGTGGATTCATTATTGCATGCATATAAGTAGTGTGATGAGCTTGACTTAGCTAGTGAGCTGCATATATTTCTATTCCTTGTTTTCCAGAGAAGGCGTACCATAATGGCGGCGGTGACCGGTTAGAGGTGCTGATTTTGCAGAAACGAATGAAAAACGAAGGGCAAGACTGGTACATGGATGCATCTGTGGGTTAGGTATATGCTTGTCATAGAGAAAGAAGCGCGCGCTTTCTTTTCAGAGCTAAAGGTGATAGAAAGAGAAAGAGTTGCTGAAAAGGTTGGGGAAGAAAAAAGTACAGGGCCATTCGGTAAACATCTTCATGTGCTTCCTTCCGCTTAGAGTGGCTTTCTATATAGTATCATGGCTCTGGGGACCAGCGAGATAATTGTAACTTTTGACCCTTGTCCACTTTCTTTTTCGCGAAGGAGTAACTCCTTTATCATAGCGATAAGCATTAAAATGTCCATCATTGCGATGAAATTTAAATCACTCAAAATCAATTGGAAAAATCCTAATTAAATCCATCTGAAATAATGAAATTCCAATTAAGATTTATACTTTTAACGAATTCCTAATCAGGCCTAAGACCTAATTAGAGATTTTCAAATGTTGTTGAAAGACCGAAATGCCTATTTGTAATCAAAAAGGAAAATTGAATGTAGGCATAAATCTGATTTTAGTTTTAATTATTCTAGTAGATTTACTAATGAGGATGTGGTATTTCTTAGATTTTATGTCAAAGGTGTGTTTTGTAATTATGAATGTTATGTCAACTCTAGAATTTATGGCTTTTTAGTTTTTTTATATAATAAAAATTTGATATTGAATAAATCTTGGAGACTGAAAAATTGAAAATGAATTGATGAGTCTCAATGTAAGTTGTGAAATAGCAAAATTAATTTTGATAGATATTCAAAAATTCCATGAATCTTTGATTTGATTTTTTCTCGCACAAAAAAAAAATCTTTGATCTTATTAATCTTTTACATTTGAAATCTTATAATTTTTATTAGTTCTCATATTTTTGCAATTCTATAGATATCTAGAAATTATGTATTTTTTTATCTTGAATTTTCAATTATTTTTTATTGGTCATAATTGTGATTTTTCTTTTTTGGTTTTTTATATGATAATGTTTTTGGCCAAATTTTCATGTGATAATGTTTAAAGAAAAAACATGTTAGTTAAATTCAATTAAAAGAATTAAAACTAAAATAAGGCTTTTTAATTATGAAGGGCATTTTGGTTTTTTAGTAACAGAAATCTCCAATTAGGCCTCTTGGCCTAATTAAGAATTTGTTAAAAGTGTAGGCTTAAATTAGAATTTTATTATTTCAAATGGATTTAATTAGAATTTTTCCAAATCAATTTTAATAATCTAAGTTTAAAATTTTTAACTAGTAATTTTTAGGTAAAACTTTATTTTTTAAAAATTTATAAAGAGATTATATTTATTTTGAATTATGTACCTATTAAAAAAATATTTTTTAAACAAAAATATTAAATATTAAATTTTGGCCATTCATATTAAATTTGAATGATTTACATGATATTCACCACTATTGGTGACTTTTCACTCCTCCTTTAATCTCTTTCTGTTTATTTATACGCATGCCGAAGGGTGATAACTGAGAAAATGAGAACAAACGAATCCAATGTGCGCATGGCATCATAATTGCATTATTTTAAGCTTCTGCCAACTTGAAAAACTCGAGACAGTAAAGTTAAGTATAAAACCCAGCAAGTTCAAAACACAATTTTCGCTCAAACCCCGGGGGGGGGGGGGAACACTCTATTTGGCTTCATTAACAGAGACAGAATCCACCGTCCAGTTTCAACTCATGACCGGACGTGGACGGCGACGGAGACGATGTCTCTTCTTTATTTTGGAATTGGGTTTTAGGGGAAAAAACTGATCAATGATGAAAATGCAATCTTATTGAAGCAAGAAAAAGAGCCCTTGCATTTCACTAACCGATAAAGCCTCCGTCCACCTTGAGATCGTGACCTGTGATGAACTCGGAATCGCCAGAAGCAAGAAACAGCACCGCTTCCGCCACGTGTTTGGGCGTGAGGTCGACGCCCTCCAGCCTCGCGTATTTTCTAAAACGCTCTTTCAAATTCCCCTCGCTCATTCCACTGGCCTTGATAGCCAGCGGTGTCACCGTCCCATTTGGCGACACGCTGTTTACCCTTATCCCACGCGCCGCCAGCTGCACACTCGCCGCCCTCATCAGCCCCACCACAGCATGCTTCGACATGCAGTAGTCCGTCCCCTTCGGACGGCCATGGCTGCCCGCCACGCTTGACGTGCACACTATGCTCCCCTTGACGCCCTTCTCCAGCATCGCCCGAGCCGCGTGCTTCAAGCACGCCGCCATCCCGCGGACATTGACAGCAAATAAACTGTCCATTTCGTTGAAGTTGAGGTCAAGGATTGTCTGATCAGAGGGGCTCGCCACACCGGCGTTGCTGAACATAATGTCCACGCGTCCATAAATGTTGACTGTCGATTCCACAAGGTGTTTGACTTGATCCTCGTCTGCCACGTCACAATGAACGTAGCTACACCTGTTGGCTCCGATGGACGCCGCCACCATGTTGCCGAGCTCGTCTTGGATGTCGGCGATCACCACCATGCGCGCACCATGATCGGCAAAGAGACGGGCCGTCGCTTCGCCAATACCACTTGCACCGCCGGTGACGATGGCTACTTTGCCGGCTACCTTGGAGAGGTTGTTGACGGTGTGATTTGAGGTATATTCTGAGACAGCCATATTTTGGAGTGTAAACATGTAATGTAAGTATTTTGAAGGAGGCAACACTAGAATTATATAATCCAGCCATCAAGATAAATGCCAGGTGGATTTTTATGGATGTTGAAGTTAGATGGACAGGTGCATGCAAAGTGATTGGTCCCACCATTAGGACTAATGCATGGGCCTCTGCTAGCGGAAAAAGAATTACTTCGTACTGTCAATTTCCTAAGGGCCTTTGAGAAGAAGGAGATTTATTATAGGCAGAACTGTAACTAAGTCTCAGGAAGGAACATAAGTACTGTTATAAAATTTTAATGACAACTCAGTGTTTTGCAATAATAAGTTTTAGAATAGGAAATAACAATTCCTCAATCACTTATTATTAAGATTTTTTGGTAGTTATTTCCTTTTCATGAGATTCTATTATAATTGTCCCTTTATTGTATGATATATGTCTTATTGGTATTCAATGTTCAAGTAGTACTTCTTATCTTTAATAATATAAAAAGTTAGTTGACTAATTTAAGTGTATTTAAAAAAATTAATTAAGTTAGTTATTTGTCATGAATAGATGTTACCTTTCTAAGATATCATTTCTAATCATGTGTATTAGCTATAACTACCATTTGATAAAATTTTTAACATGTGCACGCTACAAAAAAAAAAAGACTTTAGGCGACGACTTTCAACGGCGACAAAAAAAGTCGCCGCTGAAAGTGACTTTCAATGCCAACACCAAAAAGTCGCCGCTGAAACTAAGACTTTTAGAGGCGACAAAAAAAGTCGCCGCTAAAAGTATACCTTTAAGAATCATTGAGTTCACTTTCAGCAGCGACATTCTATGGTCGTCGCTAAAAGTAGACTTTTAGCGGCGACCTAATAATGTTGCCGCTGAAAGTGTAATATAATAATATATATTATTTTATAATATTAATAAATAAATTCAATCTGGCTCAGCGATAAGAAGACTGGACACGAAAGGAGGTGGTCATGAATTCGAACCTTGAAAAAGACACATTTAAGGTAAAAATATTTGAACGATGATGTGGCGGGGAGAAGTGACGTGGCAATGACGTGGAGGTGGCTAGCGATAATATGGCGGCTGGCGGTGATGATGTGGCTCCTGCGGCGATAACGTGGCGACAGTGACGATGACATGGCGCCTGCGGTGATGACGTGGTGTTGGTAAAACCAATTTTTCTTAGGCATTACTTTTAACAGTGACAAAAAAGTCGCCGCTGAAAAGTCTTTGAGCGGCGACAAGAATGTCACCACCGAAAGTGTCTTCTAGTGGCGACGAAAGTGTTTTCAACGGTGACATTGAAACTTCTAAAAGTCACCACTGAAAGTGTATTTCAGCAGCGACCTTTTTAGTCATCGCTGAAAGTTTTTAGCCACGACTATTACGGCAACGACTTTTTAGTGACGACAAGTCGCCACTGAAAACTTTCAGCAGTGACTTTTATACTTTCAACGGTAACTTTTTGTCGTCGCTGAAAGTCAATTTTTTTATAGTGGCAATTGGGAAAAATAGATAAATATAAGAGACAAAGTGAACTAAGGTCTTATATTTAGAACCAAATTGAATATAATACCAAACTAGCCCTTATATTAAGGACCAGCATCTCTTGTGAAACCCTACCATCTTTCATTTACTTCTCTCTCCACATATGATATTCAGAGCTTCATTTCAACAAGTGAAAAAGATATTTGTCTCTATCTTAAGGAGAATGAAAAAAAAAAACAAAGGAAGAAAATTTGTTAGTGGGGTACTGTTGTTAATTATGACACTGATTTTCTTCCATGACACCTAATTTCATGTTTATTCAAGTGATTCCTCTCAATACTAATTGAATGAAACTTATGCTGAAAATATAAGAAGCTTTCTAAATGATATACTCTCTCTTTAGACAGATGGAGTTTTTTTCTCTCTCAATATATATGTGTGTATAAAAGAAACACTCGAGTAGTGCATTTGTATACTATTCCCATTATTATACTCTCTTAATCACATAAAATAATTACTCCTCCGGTCCTTAATATAGGACCCAATTCTTGAGTTGGTTTTAGTCCTAAATATAAGACCCATTTTTCATATTTATCAATTTTCTCTAAATTACCCCTATAGATACTCTCTCAACCATAATTAAGTAAAAGAGGGAGAGGGGGTATTAAGAAAGATGATTATGGTGTTTTAGGAAAAATGTGTCACTTTTCTTATAATTAACCAACTTATCTAACTTCCTTAATCTAATCAAATTTGTTAAATGGGTCTTATATTAAGGACCGGAGGAGTAGTTAGTTTCAACAATAAGCTAAGTCAGCATCCATCTGAAGCATTTAATGTATGGATATTTGTGAAAGAATATTAAATTTGTAGTGTATATATATATATATATTTAATAAACTAAACTAATTTTAAACATATCCCTTGGTCTAGAGCTAGGTTATTAATTTGTCTCTTATGAAAAAAATTAACAAAGGGAGTATAATCTTTTTCTTTATCTGTTACAGACCAAATCAACAGTTTGAATTGCGTATAGAGAGAAATATTTATACATACGTTTGTTTGTGTGGATACATCGTCGCAGCAGCCATTGAGATAACTGCCAATAAGGTACCCAATTGGCACGCCATTTTCCCCTCCCAACAATCACAATGCTGGAAGTCATGAAAGTATTGACTGGTTTTGTTCTAAGGACAAAATAGTTTAAACTTGTTCTGAATGGTGGTAAGAAATTTTAAAATGAGCTTTTAAACTGTGATTTATGAAACATTTAAATATGTAAGGAGAATTGTATCTCCCATGAACATGCTTCTTAATCAGAGTAAGTAATTAACGCATAATTAGCGTCAATTTTGTTGAGGAGTTTGAAGGAGATTTGTATGATCATCATTCATTACCAATTATATGCTAACAACACGGCACCAACCAGACCAGCCGGTGGATTGTGTCGGGCATACAAGTAGCAATGAACTTGACGTAGCTTGTCAGTACGTTGCACCTGTTTAATTCCTTACTTCCTTCCACTTATAATATGACTTTCACTCTTCTAATATCTCTGCTAAAACCCTACCGTCTTCTATTGCTTCTTTCGAAATGAGATATGCCCTCAATTTTTTTTTTTTGGTTGCCCACCCAGTTCACCGGAGCTTTGCTCCGACTACATCTAGATCCGACCCGCGTCGCACACCTGGCTGTGGTGGGTGAGTCTCCCAACAGGGATTTCTGCATACGCTGAGGCTCAAACTCGAGACCTCACTTAAACGGTACCAAGCCGCTTATCACTTGCCCTCAATTTTTCGTTTGCCAACATGCCCGATAAGAGCTTCAATGAAAGAGTTAGAATCTGAAACATTGGATCAACGCCCCTATTAGACCACATGTTCGCTTTTAGGGCAAAGGTGTCGTGTATTTGAGTGGGCTGACTTGGTAATGAGCTGCCCAATTTTTTTGGGCCTTAAAAACTGTTATGAGTCATATTTTGACCTGTTTGAATTTTAAAATGGAACTTAACTAATTTTTTTAACAAAATTAAATATGACTCATTACCAACCGAAATCACTTAATCAGATTCAAACTAATTTAAAAAAAAAAAATCAAAATGACCAAAGCTCAAGTATACTACTCTAAAATTAAGTATGGAACCAATATTAATATACTCCTCCGGTCCTAATTATAAGACCCAATTGACTTATTTGAGGAGATTAAGAAAGTAAGTTAAGTTGGTTATTTATAATAAATAAGTGTTGTCATTCCTAAAATATCTCTGCTAATTAAGTATATTGGCTAAAACTATCATTATTAGAAGGATTATCTTGAAAAAAAATGTATAAATATAAGAGACAAAATGGATTGGGGTCTTATAATTAGGACCAAATAAAAAGTCAAATTGGGTCTTATAATAAGGACCGGAGGAGTATGTGGGTTTTATGATCAATGTGGCATCGCATCTGTGGCACGGCTAACCCGGCACGTCTTCCACCATTGTTCCTACCTGTTGCCGTCTCTCCTCCGCTCCCTCCCATCTAATTCATTCCCCTCCATTTCTTCTTCCATCGTTCATTATTCTGTGGCTCACCAAAATGAGATAAAACCGACAAAGGCAATTTTTAAATCGGAGGATGCCGGATTTGATAATTGATATGCGATATTCGTATAAACGCAAAAATTATTTCTTGGAAAACAACCGATATTTCTCAGGCTGTGTTTGGAGGGCAATACATTTTAAAATTGTCAATTAAAATAAAATCGCAAAAGCCAAGCGATACCCTCGGCATTCACGGATGGGTGAAGCTACCGTCAATCCTGAGATCCTGACCGGTGATAAATTCCGAATCGCTAGAAGCTAAAAACAGTACTGCATCCGCCACGTGTTCCGGCGTGAGGTCCACGCCCTCCAGCCTCGCGTATTTTCGATAGAGCTCTCTTAACTTCTCCTCGGTCAGCCCCCGTGTTTTGGCTGTCAATGGGGTCACCATTCCATTGGGTGACGCGCTGTTAACTCTTATCCCACGCGCCGCCAGCTGCACACTCGCTGCCCTCATTAACCCCACCACCGCGTGCTTCGACATGCAGTAGTCGGTCCCCTTCAAACTACCGACGCTTCCCGCCACGCTTGACGTGCATACTATGCTCCCCCTCACGCCCTTCTCCACCATCACCCGAGCGGCGTGCTTGACACACGCCGCCATCCCGCGGACGTTGACCGCAAATAAACTGTCCATTTCGGTGAAGTTGAGGTCAAGGATGGTCTGATCGGAGGGGCTGAGAATACCAGCGTTGCTGAACATGACGTCGAGGGTTCCATACATATTGACCGCTGATTCCACAAGGTGTTTCACTTGATCCTCGTCTGTCACGTCACAGCGCACGTAGCTGCACCTGTCGGTTCCGATGGACGCCGCCACCTGGTTGCCCAGCTCGTCTTGGATGTCGGCGATCACCACCATACGCACACCATGATCGGCAAAGAGGCGCGCCGTCGCTTCTCCAATACCGCTTGCACCGCCGGTGACGATGGCTACTTTGCCGGCTAGCTTGCGATGCTTGTTGAGAGTGTGATTTGAGGTAGATTCTGAGGCAGCCATGTTTTGGAGCAAATCGAAGGAGATGATACAAGCACTAAGAAGGCATTGTCAAGATATGATCTGGGAATTTTGAAGGAGGCGATTTTTATGATCTCTGTTCTTATTCCACCTAACTCTTGACCTTTGTATATTTTGTTTCCTTTTTGAAAATGTGGACATGCTTGGCTTGTTGACCATAAGAAACAATAGCTACCATCTATTTGGATTCTCCTGTTTGTTTTATGTTTTCAGGAAAGTGATAAAGCTTATCCAAGTGAACGGTTCATATTATTCTTGAAAGCCAGGTTACCATAGCAATGATGTTACACGTCAGCTTTTCCTAACCAGATCTTCTTTCCTTACCCCTCCATGGGAATGATATAATGAGGTGGTATTATTAGTTTGGAAATAGCATTTTGGTGAAAGAAAGTCAAGTTTCGTGACTTGGACAACTTTAATATTTTTTTAGGTTGACTGACTCCAACTTGGAAACCTACAATACTGATTGAGATAGATATTCATCTGTTGGAAGATTGACCAAAGACCAATTCCATCAAATTGGCCCTTCAACGCGTAAGTACTTGTATGATTACACTTACAGTGTTCTTATCATATCTTTTTTATCTGTCAAACACCTCGTTCAATGTATATGACAATCTTAATACAAGAACAGACATGGTTTTCAATGGTCCAACTATATTTTCAACGTCATGAAGTTAGAACATAATATTCCCTCTCATAAATCAGTAATTTTCATAGCAAGAATGGAAGTCACATTCAAGTCCAAACTATTACAAGCTCCTGCCACAAACTAGTTTCTTCTGGTTGGCAAATCCACCATTTTCCACTGGAAAAATACACACAAACCCCACAGAAAGGGGCTGAGCACAAAATATACATAAGTAGTAACATCTGGAGTCCGATTGCTTCTTTGCAAATTTACTATGATTCAGAATGGGATTCATAGAAGTCACTTGAGGAAGGAGACATAACAATTTCTTGTTCCAGCAACTGTAATACCTGCTTCATTGATGGACGCTCGTCTGGATTACCTTCTGTGCATCTTGCTGCCACGTCAATCATTGCTTCAACACTTGCTGCATCTGCATCTCTACAGCATCTTCTGTCAATCAATTGCTCCATCCGCTTCTCTCTCAGCAACATGTTCATCTGCAAATTTTTGCCTCTCAAATTCACTTTCACCTTGGAATCATATTTTATGGGCCAAAACTATGCAAGGTTCGTGCGAAAATCTTACCCATCCGACAACGTTTAGTCCCTGCTTCGCAAAGTAAGTATCTGTTGGTCTCTTTCCAGTCACAAGTTCTAGCAATAATACTCCAAAACTATACACATCTGACTTCATTGTAGCTCTCCCATTTTGAAGATACTCTGTTTCACACAATACATCATTTAAAACGTGCAGACAATACATATTACAAGGTTTCGAGTGTTCATATGTAAGTATTAAACTATTGTATTGTGAGATGTGTTTGTTTCATATGAAATACCTGGTGCCATGTAGCCAAAAGTGCCAGCAACCACAGTGGTAACATTGGTATCCTTGTCAGCCAAGAGCTTTGAAAGGCCAAAATCAGAGACACGAGGCTCCAAGTTTTCATCAAGCAGGATGTTGCTGGATTTTATGTTGCTGTGCACAATTTTTGGAGAGCATTCATGGTGCAAATATGCCAAACCCCTGGCAGAACCAAGGGCTATTTTCAAACGAGCACTCCAATTCAAGAATTGTTCTCCACCATTTTCTGAAGCAGAGCAAATATTTATTAGGAAAGACTTAGAGAATCACACAAAATTTTGAGTTCTTGCATTCTATCACAATCCATATGATACGAATCATACCATGCAATAGAAAATCTAAGCTGCCCACGGCAAAATAATCATAGATAAGGAACTTTGAAGAAGGAATCTTGCAGTAACCACGCAGATGCACTAGATTTATGTGCGCTACGCTGCCCAAAATCTCCAAGTTCCTCTCAAAAACCTGCTCGGATCCAACATGATTTCTGTCCATCCTCTTAACCGCAAATGTTGCTGAATCATTCATGACCATTCTGTAGACAGTACCCAACCCTCCAGACCCTACTTCATCCTTTTCATCAAGAGAGTCCAGCTTTTCAATGAGGGTGGATGATGGGTATGGCAGATCCCCATGGAAGGTCATAAGCTTTGTGCCTGTTAGAATACGAGGTTTAAGTCATATAAACAAAAAGACACATGAAATAGAAGGCTGTAGAATTTTAAACTCCCACACTTCCTACTTGATTCTGGATCGAAATGCTTCTTAATGTTTTTGTATCTCCGAGCAGCTCTTTCCTGCTTTGACAGCATACAAGTCCAGAGGAATGAGACCATTATCACAAGTGCAAGGGCCAACGCTGACATGGCACCAATTAGCAGCACCTTCGTGTAATGTGAAGATCTTTTGGGAGGAGGAACTGCAAAAATTTATATACAGAATTGATCATTATTACAAACGAACATAAAATATTGTGACAATAGAAGAATCAAAGAAATATTTAGAAAGGAAAAGGAAACACAGAATCCGACTTGCCTGTAGCTTCATCACTTGCAGCATGTGGTAACACCACAGGGAAGCCAAGCGACGTTCGACAAGGTTTATTGACTTGCCTCCCACAAAGATCCAAGTTTCCTGTAAACCTGTTCAAATGAATTGAATTGAGTACAATTCCAAAGCTTCCTCCATCAACTCGTATGCTATATTGTGTTATTCTAGACATGTCTAGTTGACTACATATTGTTGGGCGAGATTACTTACGAGTTGTTTCCAAAGGTGCTTAGTACTCCAATGTCAGGGATTTCACCAGAAAAGAAATTGGTAGACAAGTTCCTAAGACAAGCAGGATCAACATATACCATTAATGTCAAGAAAGTATATATCAACTTAAAGTAATCAATACGCCGCAGAGGTATTCGCTAGCTGGACTTACAAGAGTCGCAAATGTGTTAGGCGGCCAATGGATGAAGGTATAGCACCCTTCAAAGAATTGCTGGATAAATCCCTGCGTTCAAATTCTCCATTAGACCCCAATTCCTAAGTGTGAACTTTTTTATTTTGGTCGAAAAATGTGAACTAAAATTTAGGGAAACAAGAAGAATGATTTTCATTGTTTCAATGATAACCTGAATGCTGCTCCCTCCAGAGAAAGCTAGCAATCAATTCAAAGTACTCAAAAGCGTGTAAGTAACACAGCACTATGGAAGAAAATAGATGAGAGGGTCTTACAATATGGTTAAATAGGAAAGGTTTCCAATATTTGATGGTATGCCACCTTGTAAATAGTTAGCCCTCAGGTACCTTTGATCAGAATTGATGGAAAGTTAACCCAATAGTATAAAATAAAGAGGAGAGAAATCAACAGATGCTGGGGTTATAACTTACAATGCTCTTAGCTCAGTACAATTGGTAATTTCAGGAGGAATAGTTCCATGTAAGCTGTTCTGATGCAATGCCCTGAATCATTACGAGTCATTGAACAGAATAAGATGAATGAGGTGAGAGATTTCGGATTTTTGGAGAAGTGAGAAGGGCAAGGATGAAAAAGGTTGTTCTTACAATCTCTGTAGTCCACTGAGTTTGCCAATGCTGGGAGAGATACTACCTCCGAGTTGCATGAAGGGCAGATTTCTGAAGAATCAAAGACAAAAACAAGTGTCAAAGTAGGAAAGACAAGTCAGAGAAATGAAGAAAATGTGCTGTTCACATACATTGAGCGAACTCGTTGTTCGCCGGGATAACAAGTGATACCGGTCCATGTACATGGAGACTCATCAAAATCTTGCCAGTTGCTGAGATAATTCCTAGTATCGTTCAAAGCGCTTTTGATTTCCAACAACACAAGACCTATCAGAGGAAGAAGAGGAACCATTCAAATAGTTAAAGTTAAGAACTTTAAACTCACATTGGGAGTAGCTGGAGCTCAAAACAACCCATAATCCAGCTAATCGACACAAATAAAGGACCAGGGGAAGAAAACGCCATGCTTGAATCTTAGTTTATATTGTTAGATGAGCAGCCAAACGGAAAAGGACTGAACTTTACAGTTCTCTTACCATCTTGAGTGAGCGCAAAAGAGGAAGGGTAGAAAACGATGACGGAAATCACCAGAAAAACCGAGGCAACGGTAACCCTTCTCATTTGAGTCTTCCAAATGAACCCACCGAGTCACTGGGTATGAGACAGTGATGAACCGATGATTGTAGTAGTTTGTAGGGGAGAAGACGAGTGTTGCTGTGATGGAAATGCTCAGACAAGAAAGGGTAACTTTGTTTTTATGATTAAAATATGGTAATAATAATTTCAGTTTCAATTTGAATCTGAGGAGAGAGGGAGAAGGTGAGAGTAAAAGACAGGGATATCGAAAGCTGAGCACCAAAAAAGGAGCAGAGGCACAGAGTGCAATAGCCGTTGTAGAGCGGGAAATTCAAAAAGGGACCTTTTTGGCTTTTTTCTTCTCCCACTCTCTCGCGTAGCCTAAGAAGAATACTCGCTATGTGCTTAAGCAGTAGGTCAAAATGTTGACCGCCATGTCAGCAGGCCAAGAACTCTTATGTTTCAATTTAGATTTTGATTAAAAAAACACAGACACAGTAACATTGATACTGCACTGTACAGCCAGCCAAAAGGCGGCAATCCAGCTTCAAACACGGAGGGCATAATAGCGTATCTTCAACGGCCGGCATGGTTCATAACACCATAATGTTGTTTTGTCTCTTATTAATTTCATATTAACTTTAGCCATTTGCACTTAAATTTGAATTCCCATAATGTTCGTCTCTAACCTTGGGCTTGGCGTGATTATCTTCTCGATACTACCTTGAGCTTTTAGTTTTTGGATGTTTGTCCATATTTCACGTTTTTATTTTTACCAGAAAATCTCACGTTTTACAACTACGCAGATACTCATGAATGATTCTAAAAAAAATTAAAAATAACTAATTCAATTTTTGTGTGCCATGAAATAGTATTGTAGAAGCCATAAAAATTCTACAGGTCAATAATTTGTCGGGATCCTATTTCACAATTCTACTCCCGCTTTAATTTACAAGTTTTGTTTTGAAACTGCCAGATATTTTATTTTTTTCCCTTAAAATATTCTACAAACAGTTCTTTTCAATCAATACCACATGGCTTAAATAAGGTTATAACTATAAACAAAACCAAACATAAAGAATATTCTTCACGAAAGTGCGCGTGAATCTTTATTAAAAAGATTTACTTCACTATGGTACTCTAATTTATTTACAGCAATCTCCCCGGACACGACATAGAATAGCAGCTAGAAATCAAGGGCCCATTGTTAATAATAAGTACTCCCTAACGTTGCTTTTTATAAGCAGACTTCATCACATAAATTCAAAAATTAGTTAAAATGAGTTAAAAGATAATAAATATATAAAAATTAAAATTGTTTTCTCTAAAATACCTTTATATATAAGGGGAGGATATAAAAAAGAAAATAAAAAAATATTATAATAAAAAGAGTTAAAAAGAGAGAAAATGTGTGGTGGAGAGATAATGTTTTAAAAAATAAAATAATAAATACATTAAGTATTAAAATAAGTAATTAATAGGGACTAAATATAAAATTTGTTATAAAAATTTAAAACAACTTGTGACTATTACTATTTTTAAGAAAAAAAAGGTAAATAGTACTACCTCCGATCCTTAATATAAATTCGTTTGACTTTATATTGGTTTAAATATAAAACCCTAATCCATTTTGTCTCTCTTATTACTTAATTTTTTTCAAGATAGTCCTTCTACTAATTATATAGTTTAACCAATATACTTGATTAGTAAGAATATTTTAGAAAAGACAACACTGTTTATTACTAATTATGGTCTTAACCAATCAGATCAGAAGTAGTTATTATTGTTTAAAAAAAAAAAAGAGCGGGTAAAACTTAGCAAAGCGAAACCAGATTACCATTGAAGTCTGAAGAAACATTTTCTCGTAACAATCGAGACTAAAGAATCCCTTGAAACTTGGAATGCTTTTCCTACAAGCTATTGAAGAAAACCTCAACGCCATCCTCTGATTTTTGATGTGGCAGATAAACCACACCTGCTCCTGGATTCACCAGTTGCCCCCTGAAATTAATATTTAATTTACAGCTCATCAATATTAATGAATTATACTTCTCTATCTATTTATAATGTACTTTTAACATGTTTTACAGAAATTAAGAGAAAGTTAAATTTATTAACTCTCGTTTAAAATTTGATAATTTTATAACTTTACCCCTATTAACAAAGTCAACACAAAAATAAATGAAAGGTAAAATTATATATCTATACAAAAAATTTCTCTCAGTGTCCTATAAATATGACCAAAAAAATCTTCTCTCTCTGCACTGTAAATAGGACTAGAGGAGTATTGCAATAGGTATATTTATTTGTATTCTGTATAGACAAATAATGAAGCACTACACTACGAAATCTTATATGCATCAATTACGTTAATGAATTGGCAGAGTCATATATATACACACATCAGCATATTCCAAAGATGTTCATCAACGCTTCCACTTATTCTCTTTGCAAGTAATGAGTCGCTGTATAATTCATTAGTGATGAACCTTATAACTGATTAATATTTTAATAAAATGTAACAGACCATGTTTGTGTATTTCAACCTATAGACCTCTTCAGTTGTGATGAAACCCCCGATTTTGACCTTTTTTAAAGCCATGTTCTCTTCCTGAAATCACAAATAAAGAGAACATATATTAATTATCAAAAGCCTTCAAATTAATTAACTAACTCTTATATTTAGAATGAGAGGAAGTATTTATTATATCATAATAGACGTGAATACCTCATGATGGATAAACTATACGCGCATATAGCTAATTAATTAATTAATTTGTTAATTATGGGCATTTCTTTAATTTATCATGTGCCTCCGTCCATCTAAATCTTTTGGGCCAAACAATAACGATACCATGTAAACTTTAACCCACTTAATTTAGCCTAACACAGATCAACCCATCTATAAATTTTAGCCCAATCAAGCGTAAAAATTAAAAAGAAAACTAGCTACGGGCTCCCACCACAATCAACTTTATTAGCACTAGCTTTAGTACTCATCACAGTAATGAGTACCATGAAACTTATTACTGTGATAAAATTTATACTATATATTTAAAACTTTCAGCTAATAATTTTTAAACAAAAAAATTATTTTTTAAAAGACTTATGGTCAGAACTACTTATTAAAGGAAAAAAAATTTTAAAAGACAAAAATATAAAAAATAAAGTCTCGGCTGTCCATATTAAATTTGAATGGTTAAGATTTGATAAATATCATAGTACTCGTTACTGCAATAAGCATCAAACTGATGCCGCACTTCATATTAATCTGCAAATAAATGTTTGTAATATTTCTCGGAAAATTCAAATCAAATTAAAGGCCTGGCTATCTGGATAGATAAAAAGAGTTCAGGTTCATATCTCTGATAATATAATTATAGCTCCACACGCTCCACCTGGTCTTTGACTGATCTTAATTAAAAAGCAATTTGCATGTTGCTTTTCTTAGTGGTGCTTTGCAGGTATGATGCTCCAAAAAGGGGCAAAATACTAGCTCGTGTCGTGTCTGCTTTTGATTATTTGTAAATAATAGCGTGGGATTGACAATTTAACGTGCGCGCGCGTCATAAAATTTAGTAATAAGTGAAAATTCAAGAATTAAATTAGTATTTAATAAAAAATTAAGCGTTGTTTTTTCACTTTAATTATAAAACGTGGATTATAAGAGTTTGAATTATAAAAAGTTCCCGTCGGAGAATATTAATAGGTTAAGAAAGGCTTTCATTGAAAAGTTTATTGTTTCAGTTGGTCGGTTAAATTCAATACAATTCTCAAAAGGTCCTTTGGTCCTTTCCATTACACTTAGAGCTGGTAATACAGGTCAACCCGTCAGTTACGGGTTGGCCCGTGACGGGCCTAAAGACCTGCGGTTTAGTCTTTTTAGGACTACCTTTTAGCGGGTTGGGATTTTTTTCAACCCAGCCCGCTAAGATGGGTTGGCGGGTTAGAATAAAATTTAATCAAATTCCTAAATACCTAAAATAAAACATGTAAATAGAAATTATAAAAAATAAAACATATAATACAAAGTTTAAACTTTCAAATATCTCAAAATATTAAACATAATTACACAATTCATCCATCCAAAATGATTTATTAAACACCCAAATTAAAATATAAATCCAAATTAACAACAATACAACACTACAAAGTCACAAACATAAAGTGTCAAGTGCTTAATCATGATTCATGACTCTTATACGGTGTGTTCCATTCAAAAGGAAATTTTTTTTAAAAAAAAAAGTAAAACGGGTTGGCCCGCCAACTCTGGGGTTAGCCCGCCGCAGTTACGAGCTTAGTGGTTACGAACTCAAAAGATTCGTTTTAAAATGATCCTAATTTTTATTAACTCAACCCGCCACTTCTTAGCGAGTTGGGCCCGCGGGCTCAACCCATATTACCGGTTGTAATTACACTTGTTATCTTCCTCACCTTCTTTGCATATTTGGACTATCACATCAACAATAAACAACTCAGATTTCATTGTGCTTCCTTTCCATTTGAATATTTTATTTTTAAAATATGAAATCTGAATCTGTGAATCATTCATTACACATCTTAAAATTCAGATTATATGCAACAAAAATGAAGGGGATCAAACGCGCAGCAGAAAGAAACTGCTCTCCTTTCCCATAAAAGGCTGACACTACAAGAAGATTTTTTCTTTACGAGTCCTGATGACCATAAAATTCGGTGCTTTAAGGGCATTCATATCTTCTGAAGCGCAATAAAAATCTCACCGATCATTATGTTTTAATGTCGACAGGAGACTTCTGCCCTTTTAAAAAGTCCTCTTCAAAACATAATCGAATATTAAATGTGGATAAGATTCAAATAGTGACTCGTGTTATCGTGCTGTGTGGGGATTAACCCTTTTACGGGTAAGCCCAATTTTTGTTGGTATGCCAACAAGAGACTAGAATAATTGAATATCCTGCACAGAGGGTTACAGATTTAGGAGCTTTCAGGATAGAGAAAGGAGAGACAACCTAGAAAGTCCTTACTGACTCAGTGTGAACTGAGGGCCACAAGTGTTATATTTGTATTCATCATTCATACTAAGCCAGAGCCCCTTGTTCTGGATTATGATCATCACTGCCCATTTCTCTCAGTCATACTAAACCCCACCTCAGCACACTCTTCACGTTTGAAAATGGACCAGTTACACTTCTTGTATCCACTCATAACGTACGCCCCCCACCACCTTTCTACCCCCTTGGTATTCTTAACATTATGACTCTCAAAACAGCCAAAAATACTTCCTCAACATTGACTTATAACCCCTCTTCCCTTTATGACTTCTATGCTATTAGGTTATAAGGTTATTGACTTCTTTTCTTGTAATCTTAAATCATTTATTGCAGAAGATTTATGTTTAGATTCCATATTTACAGAATAGCAGTTCTATACTGAGACTTCGGCTAAACAATGTGCGCAAGTGCGAGTTTTCAATGATAAGTCCTTGGGCGAAACCTGATCTCGTTCAAAGCCTATCTTCTTTTCACACTCACATTTAGACATTGAACATGAATTTAGTGGTCTCCAGCAAAACATTAGCTTTGTGAAGGTCTCAAGTCGCGCACTAAAAACATTTAGGCTGTGACTTGTAGTTTGTGTTATGATGGAGTTTTGGTCATCAATGACGATGGGTGGGTCCAACAAACCACTTACTTCTTGAACAGTATCGATGAGTCCCAGAGGGAGAATACCGGAATTGGTGGACTGAACATCAGCCGCGGACATCTTTTACAGTGACATTTTTGGTTAAAATTTCTTTACTACAATTATTGCCTTTGACCCCACCAATCTCTACTTCCCTCTGTCTCTATATACACTCTCTCAATATCGCACCCGTGAGACGCAAATCCTCAGAGACCAGCAATGGAGAAAAGTGCGAGGGAAAATATGCAGAATAATAACGAGAAGCAAGTGCAGGGGGACGATGATGATCCTAAGATCAATTACAGAGGTTGGAGGGTCATGCCATTCATCATAGGTAGGAAGGAAAATGCTCTGTTTTTCCCTCTGTGTTTCTATCAGTTTCTTACGGTTTCTTGTGGTTGAATTCAAGGAAATGAAACGTTCGAGAAACTGGGAGCCATTGGCACATTATCGAACCTCTTGGTCTATCTTACGACAGTTTTCAACCTCCAAAACATCACAGCCACCAACATCGTCAACATCTTCAATGGAAGCACCAACTTCGCTACCTTGCTCGGAGCTTTTTGCTCCGACACATATTTCGGTCGCTACAAGACCATATTTTTCGGCACATTCGCATCCTATGTGGTATTAACTCATCAGACCAGACCAAAAGAAGGGAAAAAAAAAAAAACAGAGACTTTGAGTGTGATGATCCTGACCACTGTAATTTTCTGTGCATGTTCGAGCAGGGATTGCAGGTGATACAACTAACGGCGGCCTTCAAGAATCTGCACCCACCTCACTGTGCGAAGGAAAGTAGTACATGCAAAGGACCAACGGTGGGGCAAATGGCGTTTCTTCTGGTGGGTTTTGGGTCATTGTTGGTCGGAGCAGCGGGAATCCGACCCTGTAATTTAGCTTTCGGAGCTGATCAGTTCAATCCCAATACAGAGTCAGGGAAGAAGGGGATCAATAGCTTCTTCAATTGGTACTTCTTCACTTTCACTTTTGCCCAGATGGTGTCCTTGACCCTCATCGTTTATGTACAGTCCAACGTGAGCTGGGCTATTGGTCTGGCCATTCCTGCAGCTTTAATGCTTGTATCATGTTTTGTCTTCTTCATGGGATCCAAAATGTATGTCAAAGTGAAGCCTAACGGAAGCCCCATTACAAGTATTGTTCAAGTGATTGTGGTCGCTATAAAGAAAAGAAGACTGAAACTTCCATCTCAGTATTCTATGCTCTCCCTCTTCAACTATGTGCCTCCCAAGTCTTTGAATTCCAAGCTTCCCCATACCTATCAATTCAGGTAAATTTCTTTTCTTTTCTTTCCTTTTCTTTTTCTTTTTTTATATATTAAGAAACGCAAAAGGCGGACGTAATCTGAAGTATTACACAACAGGTCTCTGGACAAAGCAGCAATTATGACCCCAGAAGATAAAATAAACCCAGATGGATCTCCGAGTGATCCATGGAATCTGTGCAGCTTGCAGCAAGTGGAAGAGGTGAAATTATTGGTAAGGGTGATACCAATATGGGTGTCAGGCATATTGTACTACGTTGTTATAGTACAACAGCACACAATCATGGTGTTCCAAGCCCTCCAATCCGACAGGCGATTAGGACAAAGTAACTTCAAAATTCCAGGAGCAACCTACTATGTGTTCCTGATGCTTAGCATGACCTTGTGGCTACCTATCTATGACAGAATAATCGTCCCTTTTCTCCGGAGGCTCACCGGAAAAGAGGGCGGCATCACGATCCTCCAGAGAATGGGAATCGGAATATTCCTCACCATATTGAGCATGCTGGTGTCCGGGGTCGTGGAACAGCACAGAAGGTCGCTGGCTCTAACCACACCCATCGGAGTACAACCTAGAAAAGGAGCAATATCATCAATGTCAGCTCTATGGCTGATTCCTCAGCTGGTACTTGCTGGACTTTCTGAAACATTCACATCAGTTGGACAAGTTGAGCTCTACTACAAACAATTTCCAGAGAACATGAGAAGCATTGCTGGCTCACTTTACTACTGTGGAATGGCAGGATCAAGTTATTTGAGCACGTTACTTATTTCAGTCATTCATAAGGCCACTGAGAAATCTGCAACTGGGAATTGGTTGCCTGAGGATCTGAACAAGGGCAAATTGGACTACTTCTATTACATGATTGCAGTTCTACAAGTTCTAAACTTGGGCTACTTTTTGTTGATTTCAAAATGGTACAGGTACAAAGGAACTGATACCACTAGCAGCCTTCAGCTTAACCAAGTATCAAAGCCATCACAAACATCCAGCAACGGTGTTTGATTTCATGATTCAGATAATTCCAAGAAGAATGATGTCACAGTCAAAGTAGAGTATCTCAAGTACCGTTCCTTTGAGCCAAAAGGAAAAAATTATAAAATACTTTACTTGGTTTAGGTATGTCTGTATTCTAATCGGCCTGGCTCGGTAGTAAATAATTGTGCGGTGATGCGCTTTTCGACAATCGATGACTTGAATGAGGAGAGACGAAAGTAGAGTCAAACGTTAGATGGTGAGATCGAAAGTTATCTAGAAGCATTGTATCAAAAAAAAAAAACAAAAGTTATCTAGAAGCAGAAGAAAGGGCGATTACTTTGAGTTTGCCTCGGATTCTTTCGGAATACTCCTCCGGTTCATCTAAAAGTTAATTTTAGTTCTAAATATAAGTTATATTTTTATATTTATCAGTTTTTTTAAACTATCCTTATGAATACTCTCTCAACCATAATCAAGTAGAAAAGGAAGGAAAAATATTAAGAAAAATGATTATTGTATTTTAGAAAAAACATGTTATATTTTTAATAATTAACTAACTTTCTTAATCTAATCAAATTAGTTAAATAGGTCTTATATTAAGGACAGGAAGGTATCAATCATAATAAGTCAACAGTGGCAACGAATTTAATGTAGCAAGTCATTTTTCCGTATGTTTGGTTCTTGACTACAGCAATCTGTTGACGTGTTGCATCCGTTTTATTTGTGGAATTACTCTGTATTTAGCTTCTCCCCCACAGTTTGACTTATTGGCTTAGTAGTAATTATGTTTTGGCTCAGGCCAAGGGGGAAAAAAAAAAAAAGGAATTATGTTTTGGTTCAAAGTTGGTTCCCCAGATTAATTAAAAATTGATTGATTGGTATCAGTACTCCGCTGAGTCCCCCCATAAAATTTCGCTCTTTCATGTGTAGTACCCAAATTCATTTAAGGACTAGTATGTTAAGGCACAACGGGTGCACCAAGAAATAAAATGCATGAAATTTTTAAAATGGACAACGTAAATTATTTGTTCTATTCATGAATAGATTTTTTGGTCCTTATAATTTTTGTTTTCTCCTCACTGTAGAGAATAGACCATGGTTATATAAGAGTAACACACATAATTATGTAAAAATAGATAGATAGCAAAATAACATATTGGCAACAGTTTGATGATGAAAAAAGAAAAAGAAAAAGAATGAAGTCGATGGTGATATGTAATTGCAAAGACAGTTTGAACCGTTGATGCAGTTGGTTATTACAATGGGGGCGAAAAAGAAAAGGAAGAATAGTGTCCATAAAAATCAAACCCTCAAATTCCATCAAACAAAATGACAGAACTTGCTGGTATTGGGAAAAAAAAATCAAAAGAATGAAATATTTTCGCTTCTTTGCAGAGTGTGGATCGGGTTCGATGTAATCTAAAGAATGAAGCGGACAGGAGTACACCAAGAAGATCTCTGGCCAACTCTCTTTGAATATTTGTGCTAGGATATATGGGTTTCAAGATGTAAAAAGCTTTTCAATGAAGAGGACAATACCAGCAATCAAACAGGGAAAACGACTTTCTTTAGAACCGTGTGGGATAACGAGATACTCAAAAGATGCAAGTTCTACAGGAATGAAGTCATAGCTCAATACTTCATTTTCAATGATAGGGATGAATTTGTGAGGCTGGATGTAGATGGGTTGGTTTTGGCTAGTGGAGACAGCAACTGCTGAGGAGTAGTGAAAGACAACAACTATAGATGGCTTCTTGGTTTTAGCTCTCAAATAATTTCAGTTCCTTCGAGCTTTGCAGAACTCTTGGGAGTAATCATGGGCTGCAACTTTGTTGGGAAAAAGGTACAGGGAGGACGACCTTTTTAGGGACCTTATAGATGATGCCAAGATGAATAATTATAGGGACCGGCAAATTCAGATCCCGTCATGTTTATAGGGAGAACAATACTATTGCGGACTCACTGGCGAGGTTCGCTCACAGGGCATTGGGGATTTTTTGCCTCTTCATCGACAGCCGCCTTTTCCACAGGAGTTGGGCGCTGATAAAAGAAGCTAGGTAGCTAGGTTTCTTTGTAATGTTTTGTTGCGTTGTTAATTGGTATACAGTTATAATTTTTTTTTTTTAAAAAAAAGTCAACATATGAATTTAAACGCAAATCACTGAGGCCACACGATCGTAATGATATGAGCATATTATGTGTTCAATGAACTTTGACTGATGATGGGTCACAGCACAAAAGCCGAAAAGAGATTGATGCAAAGATTATATTTTTAATATTTAATTTATATTAGGTGCTCGTACACCGAACGTCTTTTTCATAATGCTTTCTTGTTTTCACACTTTCGTTGTCCAATTTTGTTTGGCTAACCACTTTAATCTCTTCCAAAATCACATGTTATGCATTACAAATTATTGAAAAGGATCGCACCTTTGTCTGATTCCTTTCATTCTTTTAACCAAGCAAGTTTTCAATCATCTATCGCTGAGTCATACAAGTTTAGCTGTCTAGCTTTTAGTGACGGATAAACAGTAATAAAAATGGAATATTTAACATTAAAACTCATGGAAATTTCAATGGCTAACATATAGCCGCTTCTAGACACTGAGATTTTGCAGATTAGAAGGCATATTTTAACAGCAGTAAAGAAAATAACGAAGGGGCAGACAAAAGCACTCGTTTAAGCGCTCAAAAGTCAAAACAGAAAAGCCCAGTAAGGGGATATTAAGGGTAACTCACTGTGTAATACTCATCATTATATTCTACTTCTCTCAGCACATTAACGCGTGCCCTACTTTTTACAGTATCAGTCTGCAACTGAGCAAGCACACCTTAGACTGTATAGGCTTGCTGAATTGTGTCAATGTCAAGCCCCTTCAATCTCACAACTGATTCTACATGACCTTTTAGTGTATGCAATTCTCTTAACCTGCACACAATAATTGTGACTTTATGAGAGCCATTTACATAGCTTAGTTGTTTTGCATCATATCATGCAATATAAGGATCCAAACAGTATTAGTTGGACTCCCAACATAGGCCTGGATTCCAAGACTATAACAAGCCGTCACTTATTAAAATTATTATAGGTTTTCACTTAATTGCGCGAGTTTTTGAGTTGAAGCCTACCTTGCGATTTCAGCTCTCCTTTTAGCTTCTTCAGCCATTTGATTGAGTTCATTGAAATGATTGCGGTCGGAGAACTTGGTGTCAGGTACTTGTAATCCATGTAAGGTTCTCTGAGCATGTGCCCATTGAAGTTCCCGTTGTTCCTTCCCGAAGTCCTTTTGTCTTGTGAATGCAATCTACACATTATTAATAAACATTAAAATCCATGAGCAGAGAACAACAAATAAAGTGGAGGAATGAAAAAGAGCATAACGAATGAGTCAGTCCAGAAACAATACTAACCCTCTGCTCAATGACAAGATCCCAAGCCCTCCCACTCAAAGCATAACGAATGAAGAACTTGATGAAATCAAGTGGGATGTAAAATATGATGTTGTATAACCATATTACTCCAGCCCAACCCCAACCGATTCCTTCAATTGCAGCAAAGCTCCAGTTTGCATAGACTGCGATCAAAGTGGCAATCTGCACACAACAAATTCAGCATCAAAGTCAGGCAAAGTGAAAAGAACTGGCACAGTAGGAATGAGGATTTAGCTTACCAGCTGAGCAACCACAAAAGCAGTCATTAACAGTATACCGGGACGCTCAACATAAGACCATCCTCGAGACCGAGTCACAAATATAAGGGCCTGACTGATAGTGCTCACTTGAAGATATATCGCTGAGGCAAGTTTACGGAAATCATCATGAGCAGTTTTTTCAAGAGTTGAGACCCCAAATACTCGCTGAAAGGTTAGCAGAAGGGAAGACAGTTAATGATAAAGGCTAAACAATATAAAGCAAAGCATGTGAAGCAACAAGCATGAACGATGTAATGAGCTAAGAATATTCTAAACCATTGAAAATCATCAATAAAAGATATACCGGGAAGAAATTTGTTTTGTATGCCGCCCAAAAGAATATCACTGTCATCATTGCCAAGTAACTTCCAAGTACAATGCCAGTGGTAAATATCTCTGCGAGCTTCCAGCTATCAGGCAGAGGAGAAGGTTTTACTCTATCTTTTGAGATTGTCATGATAGTACCTATACGTCATAAATGTTTTAGTTATGAAGTTGAAGGCATATTATGGGAGGCAATCAGACGGTGAAACAATGACAAAGAAATGGAATAACAGACCATCATTTAGGATGGCGATGATTAGCACCATAAAAGGAGGAAAGTCAAACTTCCATATAAGGGCCAGCAACATGAAACCAAGCTGTAACCATACCAAACATATAGAACAGGTCAAGAATTTGTTTTTACAACAGTCTCAACAAAATATTTTTGACTATATATTATTTCCTGGTAAGACATAGATCAGAGTCACAAAACAATTCACATACCACAATACGGATTGTAATTGAGACCGCATAAATCTGTATGAAAGAAGAAACAAATTAGTTTAACTGATACTGATATAATGCATCCTGCTAATAATGCCCTGTATGTCCTGGGCAAAACAAAAATTTGCCAAGAACATTAAAAATATATAAACAATAGAGGAGTATTGAAATAGCAGAAGTAACAAAGAGTAATGACAAGAAAAGGTGGAGTTGTGATCAACAGCAGTTCAATTGCTCACTGTATAATTTTTCATTCTCTGGAAGATGGCCCGGCTTGTCAAAACAGCACTGATAATAACACTAAGGCCAGGTTCTGTTAAAACAATATCAGATGCACTACGAGCGGCATCAGTTGCATCAGCAACAGCTATACCAATGTCAGCCTTTTTAAGAGCAGGAGCATCATTTACTCCATCACCAGTCATTCCACATATATGTTTCCTCGCTTGCAAGCGTTTCACAATCTCATACTTGTGTTCTGGCCAAATATACGTTAAGTTATAACCCGACTAACATCACGAGAGGAAGCACAAAATATTCAACCATAGCAATTGACTAATACTCGTCCATGCCATCATATGAAATTTAATAAGCAGAAATATCAATACCAAAGTTGCTGTATTCAACGTGGAAAGGAGCATACCAGGAAAAACACCAGCAAATCCATCAGCTTTTTCTATCAGTTCATCAATGGGTAGTGCAGAAATGGACTCATCCTTATCCTGCCCAAGCAATGCAGATGAGGGATACATGTTGGTGCCCATTCCCAAGCGACGGCCAGTTTCCTTCCCTATAGCTAGTTGATCACCTAACAAGGAGATGTATACGTAAAATTGAAAAGTCAAAACAATGAATAATGTTGTGGTTCTGTTGGAAATCAGATGTACTCCAAGTCAACAAGAGAAGTCAATTGGCACCGGTTACCATAATTCATCAGTTCTCTCACTAAACTATGCTTATGGCAATTGGATTGTTAAGTTCTCTCACATAGTAAGTGTAAGCTTATAACTCAAATGAAACTCCATATAATTTGATCGCTATATTCTGCAAGTTTACTTAACCAATATGTTTTCATAATGCTAGAATAGCTAGCAAGAATAGGACTTAGATGTAGCAGTATTAAGATTGCATCAGTGGTTTGCTAGATGCAAAACCTTGCTCCAAAGCTTCCAAGAAATTCATTAGCTATAGAGAACAGAACGGAAACTTCAGCACCATTATACATGCAAATCAAATGTGTAGTGTATAAAATAGACCTGTTATCATTTTTACATTTACTCCAAGGTTTAGAGCCCTCCGTATTGTTTCTGCACTGTCATGCCTTGGTGGGTCAAACAGAGGCATAAGACCGATGAACTGCCATGGGCCTCCAGCACTTTCCTTCCTCCCTTCTGGAACCTCCTGCACAAAAAGAGAAAAACCACATGGCAATCACTTCTTCATTCTGGCATTAAAGTAATACGTAGGGATACAAATTCATCAAAGGTCAAGCAAGACAAGAAAGCATGCAATGAATTAAATACCTGGTATGCTACAGCAAGAGATCGTAGACCACGTTCTGCAAACTTATCTATTACTGCATGGACTCTGCGTTCAATATCTGACTTATTGTATGAGAGATTGAGAATCTAACAGCCATGTTATAGAAACACATATCAAATACAGAATATGAGACCAAAAATGATGTAAAATTATGTAAGCAATGAGATTAAGTGTAAATTACCTGCTCTGGCGCACCTTTGCTTACCCTATGCATTTTACCTTCACCATCAATGTAAGTTAACGCTGTCCTCTTATCAGTAGGATTGAAAGGAAGAAAATGTACTTCTTGGATTCCCACTCGTGCCTTTTTTAGCAGCAAGTTCAAAAGTAAAAGTCTTATCATAAACTTGAATACAAAAAACAAATATGATCGTCCAGATCATACAGGGCTACAACCTCATATTAAGAAAAACAGTAAGTCATTGCTTGATCAGTTTCACTGACCTCTTTTGGATCAGCCAGCATCCCAACTATGGCAGAATCTATTGCATCTTGATTCTCAAGTCTCGAGGCTCGAGCTGCCATCAAAACAACAGTATCTGGATCCACTCCTTTAGCAAAAACCTGGAATGCGAAAATAAAATAATCAGATCAAATGGATAACAACTGAGTAACACCACTCAATATCCAACCTCAATAAGATTTTTGTCAACAGTCAGCTTGTTTAATGTTAGAGTCCCAGTTTTATCACTGCAAAGCACATCCATGCCTGCCATCTCTTCAATGGCTGTCATCCTCTTAGTGATGGCTCCCTGCAAGCATTACAAACCATTAGTCCACTATCTGTATGAATATCCACAAAACATACTCTAGGAGAGACTAGCCAAGGAACCTGACCTGCTGCGATAACCTGTGGGACCCAATAGCCATGGTCACCGAAAGAACTGTGGGCATGGCAATTGGAATTCCTCCTATGAGAAGTACAAGAAGGTTATCAATTCCAGGACGGTACTGCCGGTCTTGGATAGGATACATGACAATAATCTCAATAATCATCCCCGCAGCAATTGAACAGATGCAGAAGTTCCCAATCGCAGTCAAGACCTAAATGACAGCACAAAAGATAAAAAATGAAATCTCAATGACAGTAACAGCATTAGGACGACCATAAAAATGATGCCTAATCGCTATCATGATACCTGTTGGAAGTGACCCACTTGATTAGTGGTATCTACAAGGTGAGCAGCCTTCCCAAAGAAGGTGTGCACACCAGTGGCAATGACCACGGCCTCAATCTCTCCTTGTTTGCAGGTAGAACCAGAGTACACACCATCACCAGGACCTTTTGTCACTGGCAGGGACTCACCAGTAAGTGCAGACTAAGAAGCACAAAGCAGAGAATAAGAACCAGAAAGTAGGTTGTCATTGAATCATTTAGAACACTATAAGTAAAACTGAAGTAAATATTATATGCACAACAAAACAACCAGAAAGCCCACCTGATCGATTTTCAGAGGATCCCCTTCAAGAAGACGAGCATCAGCTGGTATAATATCTCCCAGTTTAATACTGACGATGTCACCTGGAACCAGAACCGAGGCATCTTGCTCACTCCACCTACCATCTCGAAGAACCTTAACAACGTAGAAATTGGAAATGAAACTATAAGGAAAATGATTTCACGGGGCAAAAAGAAAGGGGGACACAGAAAGGAAGAAACGAGATTGCACCAATAATCAAGCTAGACTAGAGTTGGCAGCAAGGGAATTAAACGCTAAATTTGACACCTTTGCCTTTGGAGCGAGACGAGCCATGAGAGCCGCTGCAGCATTACCCGCGTTGTTTTCCTCAATGAAACTAATAGTTGAATTGATGAGAAGCAGAGTGATGATACCCACAAAGTCTTGCCAGTCAGGGGGCTTCCCCTGCATACAAAAATTTAAGGAACAATACATATTCAAATCCTCAATAACAAATGCCTCGAAGGCTTAAAGAAGTTTTGCTGGAAAGCTTAGCGCCAAGAACTCTGAAAGCTGAGCTGAACATGCTCACCCCTCCATTTGCAAGCGCAATTGCCATTATGGCAGCAGCCTCCATAACCCAAGACAGAGGATTCCACATAAAACCCAAGAACTTCAAAAATTTGCTCTCCTGAAAGATAATTTACCAGAAAAGAGAAGACCTTTTATCTTTTTACGTGGCTTTCATTGAAAAGAGCGCTAGGAGAAGGGAAAGGTACGGGATAGGACGAGTTGTGAACCTTTTTCTCTTCAAGCTTGTTATGTCCGAAAATGGCGAGCCTCTCCTCAGCAGCCACAGAGGTGAGACCTTCTCTGCTACATCTTAAATTCTCAAGAACCTCCTCAATGGGTATGTTTTCCTGCATTCGAAAAGACACAGAACAGAACCCAATACACCCATCAATGAATCAAACAGACCAATGAAGAGAACCACCATGTTGCAGCCAAGAAAAGCTTCAAGTGATTCAGATCTGTTACCAAATCCACAGCTTCCTTCAACACAGCCTCCAATACTTGGGACTTGTCCTCCATCTCTTGTTCTTCTCTCAGTACCGCTCACTCTTCTTATCCAGCTTCCTCTGACTACGAAAGCGTTCAGAAAAAACAGCAAGCGGCGAAAGGTGGTAGAATAGAACTGTAGATAAAATATCCAAAAAAAGAGGGAGAAGGAGAAATCTGAGGAGCTCAGAACAGAAACCACTGTGCTATGCAACCAGCCCAAGGAGGGCACTGTGTTCCGTGGATTGGGGTCGTAACCAGTAACGGCAGTCCATAAGAATCACAACTCACACTCACAGTCACAGCTTTTTGCTTCTTTCCGTTTTCCTTTATTTTATATAAATTGTATCATATACAATTTTTATTTGATTATAGGTGAAAAATGTATGAATCATCAAAAGACTCCTGATTCCTAACACAAATAAAATATTAAACAGCGTGTGCTGGCTAATCTTTGCTTGGGATAACATGCTACCACGTCTAATATGCAAGAACATGCACCGTAGGTTTCAGGGTAAAGATGGTATCTGCTATTCAACGACATTTGTTGGCTCTGTCGTTTTCTTCTCGTGAGCAGCTCGTAATATATTAAATCTCATGGTGTGTATTATTCGTACCTAATGATATTTATATTTTGTATATAGATTCAAATAAAGCATTTGTAATTTTGGTTAAAAAAATATATAACACGAGCATCATCTTCACTTAATTAAAATGAGATTTGTCGTGTCTAGTATTAATTAATAAATTCGCTGAATAATTTCCAGCTAATATATATTCGTGATTTGTCTGGAAGTCATTGAATGGAATTGGTTGAAGTTTCCTTTTTAAATCTTGCCAATTGCCCCTGTCATTCTGGATATGATCTAACTGTGAATTATAGCTTTTCTGCAGATTCTGTGCCTGTTTGGCATCACTTATTTTGAGCTTATAAACTCTATAAGCTCGATTGATACAATTGGGTCTGTTTGGATTAGTTTTTCTACAATCGGGCTTTTGTCTGAAAAACTACAATAAGCTATAAGCTAAAATTAACAGCTTATGACTTATGGCTTTTGAAATATGGAGAGAGAAAAAGTTAAGAAATTTATTACCTCTTTTGGTTCTTATTATAAACCTCAAATAACTAATTTGTAGATAATAAAAAATCAGTTAAAATTAGTTGAAAGTAATGAATAAGTTAGAAATATATTTTTATTTTTAAATATGCTCCTAAAAATATATTTTTATTTTTTCATGTTTCACTTTATATTTAAAATATTTTTTATGACTTCTTCATATTAAATTATTTTAATTTCATTGTATCATGTGAAATTATTTTTTTAATCATGTTTCATTATTTATTAAAACTCATATATATTTTGGTCATTTTACAACCAAACTTACTTTTACTTAATCATAATCCAAACAACCTTTTACCAATCTCACTTTTACAATCTAACTTTTCTGAACTCTAATCCAAACACAATTCAACTTATCCAATTTAACTTTTATCCAATTTCACTTCTCTATAAGCTACTTTTTCAATAAGCTACTTTTTTAATCGCTGATCCAAACGGACCCTCTTGGCCCATCCATAAATGTCAGTAAAGACAATATATTCAAATGTTTTATATATTTGGCCCAAAAAATGTCACACGCACACACAGAGAACTCCGAACCAGGAATATGGGAAATTAAGACAGTATATTAACAAATCAAGATAAGAAACTTATGTTTGGTACGCTGTCAATATGAGTATTTTTTTTTCCTTCTTATAGGCGTAATCAATTGATTCGTCTTCTACATTTTTTTAAATTAACCCAATTAATTTCACGCATTAAATCTACAATCAATAAAAATAGTTTTCAATATAAATAATTAAAATTTTTTTAAAAAAACTAACTATATTTTTATAAATATTTTAACGCAACCTTGTAATTCAGATGACACCTCACAACTGTTCTTTGTGAGATCAAACCCCGCTGAGAGTTGGGATGGGAGGGAATACATTAATTTTCAAATTCCAAGTTAACTAATTTGTTTATAAATTATTATTTATCGAACTCTTATTTTGTATTTATGATAAAAGGAAATAAGATACTTCCTCCGTTCCTTATTATAAGAGACATTTGATGCTTATGGCATGTTCCTATATATAAGAGACACTTAAAAATTGTCTCTACTTTTTTGTGTTAATTTTCTATTTTACCCATATTTATTGTCTTCAACTCACACTCTCTCTCCCTCCCATTTCTCTTTCTTTTAAGAAGTTACCATTATTCTCTTTCATATTCTCTCTCCTTTTTAATGAGGGCATTTTTGGAAAAAAATTTATACTTTTTACACATTGATTGTTCTTAACTAATTTTAATTGTTTTTTTTATCAACATAATTCGGTTATTCGTCTTTTATAATAAGAAATGAAAAGAGTATTAGAAAAGTCAAAAAAGAAGCCACTGTACTGGGGTGCGGCGAACTGCGGTAGAGATGGATGGTTTAATTCTCTTTCCTGTAACAAAAACAACAAAGGAAAGGAATGATCAAAAGTTGAACAAATATACATTAAAGGTGTGTTTGGATGAAACCAAACCGTGGTTTGAAAAAGTGATTCTGGAGAATAGATTCTGTGGAGAATAGATTCTGTGAAGAATAGATTTTGTAAAAAAGTGATTCTGAGAAGTGAGAGTGTTTGGATAGTTGTTATCAGAAGTACTTTTTATATATACAAATTACTAAAAAAAAGATACAAGTTAATATAATAATTACAGAAAAATAGATTTTATGATATATTTAATTTGAAGGAATAAAATTGTTAATAATATATTTTTTACCAACATAATTAATAATACATAAGATAATATAATTAATAATTAATTAATGTGTATATATATTATAAAATATAAGATTAAATATGTTTATCAAAAAATATGTTTATAAAAAAAAACAAGATACATATCATATAAGCTCTCGCACTCTCCCTTTTTTCTCCAAAAGCAAAAAAATTTTGCTTTTTCCAAAACCATGGTTTTGGTTTTTGGAGGGAGTGTTTGGGTGACTTATTCCCCAAACCATGGTTTGGGGTGTCACCCAAACACACCCTAAATGAGAAATCTTTCTCATGTGCGCAAAACGTTGTACTTGATTTTTTTTAATTAAAAAGTTAATTTTTAAAAATACAGGAGACAATTGCTTTTACTATTTTAAAAGTTGCTTTACCAAATATAATATACTCACATGGGGGGTAGAGATAGAGCAGGGGTCGCCATTATTGATGACTCTGCCCCTCCACATGGCTTTTGTCATGTCTTCTCAAAATCAGTAACTCATAAATAATAATAATAATTATTATTATAACAGTCTGTGGAAATAAATAATATACTCACATTTGCATTGTTTGTCTTGTTTTTTTCTTTTGAATAAATTAAATTTATACTTATATTTAGTGTCCTTAAATTCATATCGTACTCTTTAAACTTTAACGCAAATGCGAAATCTGCTTCTATCTAAATATAGCAAATATCTGTTGGCCAAAAAAAACATATATAGCAACTATCCCAACAAGTAGGTGTGATGTAGCGAGGGATTTTAATACGCGGGGTCCACTGGGGAAGCCCTTCATGTTTTGTGTTTTTAAAAAAAAAATGTTAACATTTTTACCTGAAAAATAAAGAAAATTAACCTTATCTTGTATTTGGCCCAAAAAAAGCCTATACTATCTCCGGTCCTAATTGTAAAAACTAGTTGACTACTTTAAAGAGATTAAGAAGGTAAATTGAGTTATTTATTTATTCTAAATAGTTATTGTATTTCCTAAAATATTCTTGCTAATCAAGTGTATTAACTAGAACTATCATTGTTAGAGGAGTTACTTTAGAAAAAAAATGTATAAATATGAGAGACAAAGTGGATTAGAGTCTTATATTTGCTTATATTTATGTATAAATAAAAGTCAAATAGAATCTTATATTAAGGATCGGAGATAGTATATTGATTTTTTTTTTAGTAAATCAATCTTGTAAATCATTGACATATCTGGTGAATATTACGATAAATTGATGCAGTAATTAATGCGATGCGGAATTCTGGAACTGTTAACCAATGCTCGAGAAGCACGAGAATTGGGGAAAAAAAAGAGGCCACGTGTATGGTAGTTATTGGTAGTTGGGCGAGATGAAAATTTAGGTTATTAAGGGCCTGTTTGGGATCACGTTTGGGCCTCCAAACATGCATCCCCAACGGAGAAGCAACAGGCAAGCTGAAAATAGGTGTTTGGGAGCACGTTCACGCAATCTGACTTCTACCACCCAAACATACTTCTGTCATAAGTTGAAAGAAGCTACTTTTTGGTGAGGGTGTGCATTGCAGAATACCGTTAGAGGATTTGGATATTAATTCTGTGCGGCACACGTAGCCCGACATCTTAATATTAACATACTAATGTCAGTGGACTCTTTCTCTAAGATATTGCGGGTGTAACTTCGTGAATTTTGCAACAAATATCAAATGTCGTTGAGGGTGAGGAGGCAAGGCCAAAGAAGCAACTAAATTAAATTTCCTTATTTTTAATAATTTTATTTTCATTACTTCTTTAAAAATGATCACATTATATATATAATTTTTTTCTAATAATAAATTAAATTTCTTTACTTTTAATAATTTTATTTTCCTTACTTCTTAAAAAATAGTCACATTATATATATATATAATATTAGATATGTACTATTTAATAAAATTTATGTCTTTTTAAGTCATTTTATATCTAAACTTACTTTTATATTTATCATCCAACCAAGTTTTAGCTTCTCAAACTGACTTTTTTATAAAACCCAATCCAAACACAAATCACATTACACTATCTGACTTTTACTCAATCTGACTTTTGTAAAAGTCATATTGGAAAAAAGTTACTTCTGTCACTGCTATTCCAAACACACCCTAAGTAAACAATTCTCACATCAAAAAAAATACAAGATAAACAAAAAAACAGAAGGCCAGCATATTAAGGACTGAAAGAGTATTATAAAATTATAATCATCTGACTCTCTTGATATGGTAAAAATACCTTATAAACGATATGATAAACTTTGAAATTTATTAAAGCAGTGAATTATAATTATAATTTTCCAAAAAGAACTCAACTTTCTTCGAAGAGATTGCTTTCTAATAATGCAATAATTGAAGCATGAATTGAATTCTAATTTACTGCATCATCATCACATGGGGGCAGTAACAGTAAACTAGTG